ACCAGGTCTCAAAGAGGTAAAGAAAAGATGGATCATCACCTTTTTGAGAACTGGTGGAACCAGTGTTGGACAGCTTTCATCCCTCTTTCCAATCTTCCATTCTGCAGAGCAGGAGGGTCCTAGTATAGGAGCAGCTTTGATTCAAAGCCTGGTACTGAACATTGTTTAGCTAGGATGTTGCTCTGAAACAGTGGTGGGTTCCTCCTGGTTCCGCCTAGCTGGTAGCGGTGACGATATCACGTCACCGAACCAGTTCTGCCCCCCCGCCCCTCCCCCCCCGGTTATTCTTACCTTTTATTTGGCCCCACCCCCAATCTATTGCTGCCTCCAGAGTCCCAGATGATCGGCTAGAAAGAAAAAAACTGTTTAAACTCTTGCCCTGGGGCTTCAAAGGGCTGCCCTACAGCTGATCAGTGTTAAAAGGCAGTGTGGTGGTAGACCAATGCCTCCAAAAACAAATGAGTAGACCGGTGCCTGCAAAAATAAATGGGTAGACCGGTGCCTCCAAAAACAAATGGGTAGACCAGTACAGCTCTGCAAGCAGTTAAAAGCCTGGTAGACCAGTACTTCTGCTAAATCCTAAAGAATTGTCACATGACCATTAAGCCACGCCCACAAAATAAGCCATGCCCACAGAACCAGTAGTAAAAAAATTTAGAACCCACCCCTGCTCTGAAACTTATGTAAACTCCTGCAGATATTTAGAGTATTAAATGTATACTGCCACAATTTCACATATTTTAAGCATCATTTTGATCCATGCAAAAAAGAGGAGACTGGAGTTTTTTGTCCTTGAACATGGCTTGCTGAATATAGGATTGATCCAAGTTCCATATGCAAGAGTACCTGAATTTATGGATAATGCCACAGAATAAGTAATTGCGAATTAACTAATTCTTAACGAGAGTTCATATTTTCACAGAATCTGTGAAAAAGTAAGCAAGGAAGGGAGAAAGAAATTTGCTTGCTGCTTGATTTAAAATAGAACAAAATTTAAAGTGCTAACATGTTATATATATGCTTAATGAAATAAGAGTTTCAGATAAATATAGTACTCAAAATAAATAGAGATATCTTCCCAAATCAGATGATAAAGTATCAGGAGGAGAATTATATGATGATTCTGGTTAGATATGACCTCTAATGTCTGCTTTGTAAGTCTCTTTGAACTGTTTATTGAATGTTCTGATATGCAACTAATGTTCTGATATGAAGTTTATGGTTACCTTCTACCTAAAAAGATTACTGTAGTCAGCCAGGGTGACTAGAAGAATTTCAATGTCATTTGGGCAGGCAATCTACATCTAGTGAAAAGCAAATATAAAAATCAAAATTGGTATAAAGAAACTCACAATTATATATAAAAAGAAGCCTTGTAAAGATGTCACTCAAGGATAGAAGTTGATATCAAGAATGTTTTCTCAAAAGCAGAGAACTAATAATCCAAGATTGTGCATCTGGCAATTCAAGACATAATAAAGCAAGTAATCACAACTCCATAACTTGTTCATTAACACGAAAGGACTACCAGACCTTGGATCCTTTTCAGATCTGTAAAAGCACCATTATAATGCTTAAACCTCATCTATATACTACTAAAACTCTTGTGCCTGTTTGTAACTATAATTTAGACAAAATTGGAAGGTATAAGCAACAATTTCTAAACCACCTGAAGGCCAGACAAGGAATAATGGATGGAAATTGATCAAGGAGAGATTCAACCTAGAAATAAGCAGCATTTTTCTGACAGTGAGAACAATCAACCAATGAAACAGCTTGCCTTCAGAAGTTGTGGGAACTACATTACTAGAAGCCATTTGTCAGAAAATGGCAGGGGGGTTGGACTAGATGATCATGAGTTTTGCTCATGATCCATTGTTACCTTTATTTCCCCTCCCCTCTACAAAATAGCAGGCAGTTCATCTGAGAAGGGATTTCCAACATTCCCTACCAGTTTTCCACAAGCAACATCAATGGGGAAGCCAGCAGGAAGTTGGAAGTCACTCCCACTCCCATTATTTTTGCCCAACGATGATCATTCTGTTTTTCTGTTTTGGTAAGGAAATATCTCTGAAAGAATGACCTAGCAGGTTGTCTAATTTTATTTATAAGTAGACTTCTGAAAGGTAGAAGTATACAACTGATACTGCAAATCAGAGAAACTCAGCCATAACTACAGCTATAATAGGCAATTCTATATGCTTACATTTGAAGTAGAAACACTCAGTTTTTAGATAACACAGAAAACCATCTAGCAGAATACACTTTCAGCAAAAAGAAACCTGGAAGCTTATAGGCAACATTGGTTATGCAGCCTGAAAAGGTCTGAAACCCCTGATCTAGAACAACACAACTATGTTGGTTGGAAATTTGGGGAACTGGAGAGCTTTCCAACATTCTTTTTCTACTGTTTAGCCCAGGGGTCTCCAACAGGGGTGAAATCCAGGTTCTAACAGGTTCTGGAGAACCGGTGGCAGAAATTTTGAGCAGTTTGGAGAACCGGCAAATACCACCTCTGGCTGGCCCCCGAGTGGGGTGGGAATGGAGATTTTGCAATATCCTTCCCCTGCCATGCCCACAGAACTGGTAGGGAAAAATTTTGAATTTTACCCCTGGTCTCCAACCTTGGCAAGTTTAAGACTTGTGGACTTCAACTTCCAGAATTCCTCAGCCAGCAAAGCTGGGAGTTGAAATTCTGGGAGTTGAAGTTCACAAGTCTTAAACTTGCCAAGGTTGGAGACCCCCGGTTTAGCCCATCAAAAGTAGGTAAAAAATGATCAATGTGGTCTGTTCTTCCACGAATCTAAACATGCTGAGAATATACATATAGATGTCAGTCTGGAGATGTCAGCCTTCTCCCAAGTTACTCTTTCCTGATGTGAGGCTGACTGCTCAAAACACAAATAAAAACCCTGAACAATTGCTTATAAAGGAGTTGCAAAGTCAGTTTCATCCCTGAAAGACCTGTGCATTAACAACCTGCGAGTTATGATCAGAAAATGGGGCCAAAGTGAGCTTTCCACCTGCGCAAGAACAAGTTTTCTTAAAACTCAGCACAACTGCATGTTGCAAAAAGAAAACCAGATTTGCTTTAGTTTCAAAGATCAAAAAAGAACTCTTTGCTCTCAAAAATGCTAACATGGGAAATGCACAGACCCAGGGCTGCTTCTGAACTGCTTCAAAAGCTCTGAGAAAGTGTCTTAAATTAACACATCTGTGACATGGGAGGAAAGTCTGCATTATTCCAGGCAAACAGCTGTTGGGAAACATTTCAGCCATGAATTAAAACCGTATAACTTTCAAAACTGCATGAATAAGATAGAATATAGAAATGTTTTTACAGGTTTGGTAGCACTAAAACCATAGAAATTAGCAAGATAGAATATCAAATCACAAAGATGCTTATATTTATGCAATGCATCGAAGCTTATTTCTGGAATACGGTAAAGAAGCCACAAACCGTGGATGGTTTGCAGCCCTTTCATTGTGCTGACTGAGTCGCTAATTCTTAATAAATACCCATAAATTAATCTCAAATTGAAAAGAGCAGGGCTAACGATTCATGCACTTGCTAAACAGGCAGAGGATCAAATACACACTGTACTTTGTTTTGTTTTCTCTAGAGAAAAATGGAAACAAGCAGGACCTACGAAGCATCTACTGCACCCCCTTCTCACGTTTTTCAGCTCTCCCACCGCTCACTGCTCCTTACCAAACGCCCGGCTGTTCTGCAGCTGCTCCTCAATGCAATCGTTGCCGCCATCTTATTCCGGAAAGATAGTTTCCCCACGCCTTTCCCACTCCTCCCCTTTATCAGCCAATCGAATCGTGCCTTTTCCTCCCGCTGGCCAATTAGAACGCGAAAATCTGCCTTCTTCGGTGAAATGAATGACTGTGGCGCTTTGCTTTATAAAACAAATCAACCCTCAAAAACGAGATATTGTTAAAAAAAATAATACAAGCATGGAACATCAGGGTTTACAGTCAACGGAGTCATCTCATTATCTCATCATTCTCTTGATTCTCCCAAGCCTGATGATATAACCAAGTCTTGAGGGACTTAAGAGAAACTAACAGGGATGGGTTCAACTTCACCTGATGGGAGATAATGTTTCACCGGGCTGGACATCACCCTCACCCTAGAAAGATGTCTATTTCTATGTATGTACATACATACGCCGTCTTTCTCTCCGCATGTGTTTTATATTTCATATATATATATATATGTGTGTGTGTGTGTGTGTGTGTATATGTGTATGTGTATATATGTATATGTATATGTGTATATATATATATATATATATATATATGTATATATATATATATATATATATGTATGTATGTATATATATATGTGTGTGTGTGTATATATATGTATATATGTATATATATGTATATATCTATATATGTATATATCTATATATATGTATATATCTATATCTATATCTATCTATCATCTATCTATCTATCTATCTATCTATCTATATATATATATATATGTAGGTCTTTGGTTATATATATATATGTATAAAACGGATCCAAGCCTTCAGGCTATACAGGTTTCTTAGTCCATATCCTTAGAGGCAGTATCTCTCTCTCTACCTACCTATCTTTATGTACTTACCTATCATCTCTCCCTCTCTCTCTGTATATCTGTCTACCTGTCTATCAATCAATGTCTATCAATGTCTGTCTGTCTATCGGGGTCTGCTACAGTGTTGTCACGCCCAATTTCCTGATTTGTGCAGTCATTCCAGCAGACCTCATTAGGGATTGACAAGCAAACGCTATGCGTAATGATTCAGTCGAGCTGCGGTTGAAGAGAAACTTAAATGCATTTAGGAAGGAAGGGAAAAAAAATAACAGTGTTTCCAAAAGTTGTATATGGAAATAACTTTGCAGCCGGAGCTCTCTTTATTTTTAAAGTCGCTAGAGTAAACGAATTCCCGAGTGATGCAGAAGGAGTAGCCGAGTCCGGTCTGTTCTGCGCCTGCTCCCCTCCCGCTTTCTCAGTAGAGGCCGAAAGCCGGAGGAGGTGGCTGCGGCAGTGGCTGGATTGCTCGCTTTCCGTGCTCGTCTTGGGTCGGGTTCCGGTCCCTCGGCTTTTCTGCTCCTGCGAGCGAGGGGGTTGATCTCTCGGAAGGGCCTCTTCACTGACAGGGCGCGGGACGCGGCTTCTCAGCGGCGGCCCACCATGGGCGACGAAGGCCGGGTGGAGATAGATGGCAGCGTTATGGAAGGGGTGAGTTAGCGGGAAAGAGAATCGTGGATAGCCAGATCCCGTGGCTCTGGCTCGGGATGGGGGCGCAAGTGCAACCCAACGTTCTCGAAGAATGAATGAACGAATGAACAGTTCGATTGGTGTCGGAGAGCAAGCAAGAAGGTTGCAATCCTCATAATTTCTGGCAGGAAGAAGTGAACCCCGTTTTCTTCCCCGAACCAGAAATGGAGTTAAACCCCCCCCCTTCGAAGATCGATTCTAACGTGGATCTTTTTATATTTGAAAAAAAGGAATACAATATCGAGCCTTGGTGGCGCAGCAGACTAAAGTGCTGTTAAATAGCACCAGCTGCCTGCAATTACTGCAAGTTCAAATCTCACCAGGCTCAAGGTTGACTCAGCCTTCCATCCTTTCGAGGTTGGTAAAATGAGGACCCGGATTGTTGGGGGGCAATAAGATGATTTTGTATAAAAAAGAACACCGCTTAGCCCCCCCCCCCTCGAAAGCCTTACTAAGCAGGTATATACAAAAGTATGAAGGCTATTGCTTAACACACTGTAAGCCGCCCTGAGTCTCCGGAGAAGGGCGGCATATAAAATCTAATCAATCAATCAATCAATAATAAATAATCTTTGGATTCCTCCTTTCCCAGCGGGTATCCACAGGAATAGCTTATGCACGCCTCCCATTGAGTTCATTAGAATTCCAATCTTAGTAGCTCGCCTGTCTAAATGTATTAGGACATCTGTGCTTACCAGCCCTAACACTCCCCCCCCCCAACCCCTGTCCTTTTTTGAAAATGGGCTTTACAGACCTGTGAACTTGGCCTAGTCCTTGGGTAGGTAGGCTATCCAATCTTTCACAACAGCTCCGGTTTTATGAGGTTTGACGATCTGCTTTCCTTGCAGGGTGGCCAAATCTTGAGGGTTTCTACAGCTCTGAGTTGCTTGCTCAATAAACCTTTGCAGGTGAAAAATATCCGAGCTGGCAGGAGTCAGCCTGGTCTAAGGTAAATCCTGGTGAACTGTTGGGAAAACTAATTTCTCTCCTGCTAATCTTGGGGGGGGGGGAACCTATCAGATCATTGTGATTAATGTTTATGCCAGGTATGTGGAGAACTTCAGAAAATTTACTAGTCTGCAAAATCTTTTAATTTTAATGATGGCTACAAAGATGTACCCATTTGCTGATTGTTATCAAGGATAAAGACTCCGTTAAATCAAGGAAGTGGATGGTTATGCATTGCCTTTGACATTCTTGTCTAGCATCCAGCCCTGGAATTCCCTTTATTTATTTACAGATATACCTGTGGATAAATAAAAGTGTAGCAGCTTGCTTACGTCCTATTATGATGGCATTGTGGCATTTAATTACAGCATGGTTTAATACAGCATGGTATAATACAGCATGGTATAATACAGCATATTATATTGTTCTTATGTTTTATTTTTACTATTATTTGTATCTTGCCTTTTAAGTCACAGACCCCATCAAAGTAACTTATAAGCCATTTCAACCATAAATTATTTTTTATTTCTCAGGTTTATATGCTGTTTCCATCATAAAACTGACTCCAAGTAGCAATCCAATAGCATCATATTGGATGATATATATATGTAGGTCTTTGGTTATTCGGGTTTTCTCCCGTAAAATTGAAAGTGTCTTGGCGACGTTTCGATGAGGTCTCATTTGTCATCTTCAGGCTGGTGTTTTCGGCTTCGTGCTCCTAGAAGCCGAAAACACCAGCCTGAAGATGACGAATGAGACTTCATCGAAACGTCGCCAAGACACTCCAATTTTACGTGGGAGAAAACCCGAATAACCAAAGACCTACATACAAATACCCGCAAAAACCTCAGAAAATATATATATATATTCTGCAAAAGACCCCTCACATAAGCCTGATGATGGCAGATGAGATTCTGTCGAAACGTCACTTCTACCCTTTTAGGGATATGTTCACAATTACACGGGAAGAAACCCGAAATATTAACTGTACACACAGACACACACCACACACACAGACCACACACACATCACATACATACATACATACATTATATATATATATACATATATATATATATATATAAGATTCTGTCGAAACATTGCCAAAGTGCTCTCAATCTTACATGGGAGAAGACCTGAATACACCAAGACTTGCATACCTGTACCCGTGAAAATCTACGAATATATATATAATATATATATATATGATAGATAGATAGATAGATAGATAGATAGATATATATATATATAATATATATATATATATATATATATATATATATATATATCTTAGATGCTATTATGTATATATAATGAATAAAACAATATAATGTCTAACAAAAAAATAAATCTATCATCAGTATTGTTATATAACATATATCAAATGACTTAAACAAATGTCTCTGCAATTGATGGTTCTATCCTTGTTGGTATAATTTGGAATAATTTTGGCCTGCCATCGGCTCCCTTTCTCTTTCAAGCTCAAAAACCTGGGAGACAGAATTCCTGGAATATGACTTCCGGTTGGCGATTTGCTGTGACAGGGTGTGAGTGAGTGCTCGCTGCTCCTCAACACCCTTTAGCATCGCGTTTTGGGGATCCCCTTGGGGGACGCGGGACCCGGAGAGCCCTGCGGGCAAAAGAGGAAGCCGGACGAGCGGGAGGTGGGTGCGATCACCTCTCGCCGGACCAGGCGGCTCTGCCTAGCCAACGCGGGTGAGCGGCCATTCATGGCGGGCACGAAGCAGCAATAACCAACAAAGACGGGAAGCTTAGAAGAAGATCGGAGGTGCGGTGACAGACTCAAGCCTATTTCCCTATACCTGAGATCGTTGCTAAGGAGGAGCTGGGAGAGGAGCGCTCGGAGCGGCGAGAGGCAGTGACAGAGAGGATAGAGCAGCCCGTACTCCCGGCGATCCGATCTGATAAGCCGAAGAGCAGATGAGAAAACGGAGGGAGTGGATCGTACCTGTAAAGAGTTTTTGGAAGGTGCGGTGTGGCGAGGGAGTAAAGGAGAAAAGAAAGACCATTGCTGGGACTGGCGTTTTATATCGGGATCGAGTGGAAGAGAGCAGGAGCAATACAGTGACTGGCTGTTTGAGGCTCCTATCAAACAGGAAGTACGTCCATTAATCCGGAAGAGTGGATGAGCAGTGGTTGAACAAGAAGACGTTCTGGCAGAGACTAATATCATAGAGTTTGGCTGGATCCAGCAAGCGGGGAAATTGAAGAAACTGAAGACCTCTATTTAAACCCCATAACTCCGTAAATAAATAACATACTTATACCCACATTTTCATATATGTCAATATTTTCTTTATCCTTCTCTTGAATATCTGGATAGTAATAATTGAACTCTGTTTTTCTTTTCAAATTGATAAATATTAATAATCAGATTTGTTAAGCTATCTTATAGATATATACAAAAGGAAAAAAATTACATATATATATATATATATATTTATATATATAAAAAAAAAAAAAGAAAAAAAAAAGGGGGTTGATTATATATGAGAATTCAGATCTCTATAAGTATTACTAGATAAAAAAGGAAAAAAAATAGGGTCTGATCATATACAAGAATCGGGAATTGTATCCTACTAATTAATTACTATATAGTGTTTATATTCATAGTACAGTAATATATAGTATTTCATATTTATTTATATTTATAGTAATCTATTTATTCCTATTTATATTTATCATATTTATCTATATTCAATTTTTATTAAGATTTGAACTCAGACTTCATTAACTTATTATCTTATTATGGTCAACTTATATACCCAGAATGTCTATTTGTACTTACCTATACAATACTCTTTACTAGGATTAGAACTTAGAACTTAGAATTTATTAACTTAAAATAATTATTTGTACAATCTATTTATATTACTTATTTAATATTAAGAGTGAATTTAGATTCTTATAAGTGATTAATTGATTAGGATTGATATTTTATTTAATCTATTTAGAGGAGAACTATATAATTTTAATTACATAATTATATAATTATATAATTAGTGACTGTTAATCGCTGGAAAGTGTATAGCAGTCTACCACAGTAATTTAGAAATCTAGAACTTACTATTAAGTGGAAATTATTGAGAGTGTAGGGAGGACTAACAAAGGAGTGAAATAAAGATATAAGAAAGCTCCTCAGAGAAAAAGTGGCTAGTGCCACTGGATGAGAGAATCTGGAGAAAGATAGAGGAGATATTAAAAGACCAAAATCGGTCCTGAAAGATATGGCAAGTCTGACCTCCACAATTGCGAAAACCGGTAAAAAAAGCGACATCTATACCTACCCTAGCGATGTCTTCCCCAGCTACCCAAAAATCAGTGGAAGGTCTTCAGAAACTAGACAAACCCCCCTGCAACTCCTACATTGCAAACGGTGCAAGCATCCCTCCAGTCAATTCAAGAAACAATGCTTGCGATGCAAGAAAAACTCTTGAATAGCCACTCTGAATTAAAATCAGACATCCATGCTCTTGATTTTAAAATGAACGAAATCCAAAATGCTATTGCTAGTAACGAAAACAGAATTCTAAAAGCAGAACAAAGAATTGAAAAAAACGAGAAAAAACTGGACACAGTGGACCAAACCTTGTCGGCACAAAACAAAGAAACAGAAGACGCGCTGATCCAACTTGAGATGGATAAGCCTCGTTTTACTTGCGTTTCCAGAACATCTCGGAGGAAAAAGAGGAGGACTTAGGTGATAAGATGGCAGAATTGATTGCAGAAACTCTGCAGCAGTATAAGCAGGAAATAATTCGTGAGATTGACGAGGTGTACAGAGTCCAGACGAATTATGTAAGAAGGAACAGACTCCCCAGGGAGGTCCATGTGCGTTTTGCTAGGAAAAAAGTTAGGGACATCCTGTATAACATAGCCCGGGAGGAAAAAATTACCTATGGAGGAAAAGAAATTAATATTCTGAAACAAATACCGAGAAGAGTGAGGGAAAGGAGGAAAAATTATAGGTTCCTGACAAACCACCTAAACAGGAGGAATATAATTTTTAGGTGGCTTTTGCCAGAAGGATTGCAAAATTTCCTGGCAAGGGAGGAAAATAAGAATTGACTGTCTAAGTGATGCTCAGGACTTTTTAGAACAACTAAGGGGAGGAGAGGAGGAGCAAACTAGTAAGGAGGATAACGAGATAGTAAATACGGAAGAAGAGATATCCCAAGAGCAATTACTAGAGAAGATATAGAAGAGGAGAAGAAAAAGGAGGATACTGAGGAAAGAGGAAAAAAATCAAGACCAGTGAGAGCCGTAACTTTAAAAGGCAAGTAAGAACAAGAGACTAGAAACTAATTTTAGAAATGAACGATACTAAGATCATATCGGTAAACGCGAACGGTTTAAATGATTACAAAAAAAGAAGGATAATATTGTCAAAATTGGCGAAACAAAACCCCGATATTATCTGCATCCAAGAAGTTCATATAAAAAAAGATGAGGCTGATTATCTAAATTATTGTAAATTTGGTAAAGTATTCTCCTCATTAGCAGAGAAAAGGAAAAGGGGGGTCGCCATCTACGTTAAGAAAGGAATAATGGCAGAATGCAAATATAAAGATGGAAAGGGAGAATACTTATAGTTGAAATAACGAGAGCAATGCTAGGCTGTTATTGGTAGGGGTCTATGCACCGAATAAAAAACAAGGGAAATTCTACAGGGAAATTGCAGGAACAGTTGGCAAATTGGGCACATCTTGAAATTTGTATGCTAGGGGACTTTAATGGAATTGTGGATCCAAAGCTTGATTATAAGAGTGATATAACAAAAAAGAATAAAAGATCTCCCCTACCAAAGACCTTCTTTGACTTAGTAGATGAGATAAATTTAATTGACATGTGGCGTCCTTACATCCCCAGGACAGACAATTTACATTTTATTCCATCCCACAGAACTCCTGGTCCCGAATCGATATGGTTTGGGCTACCAGAAAATTGGCGTTAGAAATAAAGAAAGTTAATATGGACTCTAATACTGGGCAGATCATAAGCTCCTAGAAATCAAGTTGGTCCCACGATATGAAGAAAATACAACAGAGATGGAGTTTAAGGACCAATCTCTTAAACGAAAAAGAGTTTACACTAAAATTGAATGAAGAAATCAAACGCTTCTTCTTAGAAAATGGGAATCGAGAGACAGCCAAAGAAATTGTGTGGGACACTATGAAGGCGTATGTCAGGGGAATAGCTATTTCATATACTGCCTTTAAAAATAAGGAAAAAAGAAAGAGTAGAGAAGAACTTACTCAAAAATTAATACAAACTGAGGCCGAATTACAGCAACGACCGGGAGACGAGGAGACGAAACAACAGTGGTTGATGTTGAGACACCGATTGAATTTATTGGACCAGGAGGAGATGGCTCAAAAAATAAGAAGATCTAAGCATTATTGTTTCGAGAATGCTAACAAGTCGGGGAGATGGTTGGCGTATAAATTAAAAAAAGAGAAGGAAAAAAACCAAATATTAGCTTTAGAAGACCCGCAGGGCATCTTGTTGACAAAGGAAGAAGATAAATTAGAAAGTATAAGAAAATTTTATGAGTGTCTTTACAAAAACGAAGGAATTGAGTTAAATAAGGTAGAACAGTATTTGTTGGAAGCCAACCTCCCTCAAATTTCGGAAGAAGAAAAGGAAATGTTAAATGAAAAGATCACCATAGAGGAGTTAAGATCTGTCTTATCTAAAATAAAGAAGAATAAAACCCCAGGCCCTGATGGTCTCCCTGGGGAACTATATCAAAAATTTGATGATGCCCTGAAATTGGAACTGCTAGAAATTTTAAATGATGTTATTGCTGGTATAACAATCCCAGACTCCTGGAGGGAAGCCTACCTGACGATCATTCTGAAAGAAGGTGCCGACCCGAAACAGATTTCCAACTATAGACCCATCTCACTGCTTAACGCAGATTATAAATTATTTATGACTATAATTGCGGAGAGATTTAAGAAAATTCTAAACCGATGGATACACAAGGATCAAAATGGTTTTCTCCCTGGGAGACAGATTAGAGACAACTTGAGAACAGTCTTAAATACTATTGAATACTATGAACAACACCCTGAAAAGCAGATGGCTTTAATGTTTGTTGATGCCCAAAAGGCATTCGACAATTTAAATTGGACCTTCATGATAAATCAAATAGATCTAATGGGATTCGGGACTAACTTTAGGAGGATGATAGAGAATATCTATCATAATCAAAGGGCAAACATACTAGTGAATGGAGACAGAACTCGGACATTTCAGATCCAAAGAGGAGTCAGGCAGGGATGTCCCCTATCCCCCTTACTTTACATTCTAGCACTAGAGGTCCTACTTAGAAAGATTAGAGCAAATGAAGATATCAAAGGCTTAAAGATTAGGAAGGAAACATTTAAAACCCAGGCTTTTGCGGACGACGTCGCCTTTATAATTGAAGACCCATTAGACACCGGCTCAAAATTAATGCAGGAAGTTCAGAACTATGAAGAAGTCGCGGGCCTTAAACTTAATAAGAACAAAACTAAAATAATCGTGAAAAATATGACAAACCTACAAACGAAAGAATTAGAAGATCTACTAGGCCTCCAGGTAGTTAAGAAAACAAAATATCTGGGAATATGGATTACCGCAAGACTATCTTCATTAAAAGATGATAACTATATTCCCTTATTGCAGAAAATCAATCAAGACCTCGATAGGTGGAGGAGACTTAAATTGTCCCTGACCGGGAAAATTGCGGCGATCAAAATGAATATTCTACCGAAATTTCTATTTTTATTTCAAAACATACCGGTATCTCTGGATAAAAAATTCTTCCTGGATTTGAATAAATATATTAGGAATTTCTTGTGGGAGGGTAAGAAATCAAGGATATCTCTTAAGACACTTCAAGGGAAAAGAAATTTGGGAGGGTTTGGGCTCCCTGATTGGGAATTATACCAAAAGGCGGCAAAAATAATTTGGATAAAGGAGTGGATTAAATTAAAAGAAGGGAGAACTCTGACACTAGAAGGACATGACCTCCATGAAGGATGGCATGCTTACCTCTGGGATATAAAGGATAGGAGGAAAACGTATTTTCATAAACATAAAATAAGAGAGACATTGATTTGTACGTGGCGGGAAATTAGACAGAAGATATATACCAAGGTTCCTAGCTGGTTGTCGATTATGGAAGCTCTAGTGGTCCCAAATAGGAGAGGAAACTATAAAATGGGCACATATAAGGATATCTTGGACGAAGAAGGGAAGCTCAAACCTTTGGAAGCATTGAGGGACCAGGGGTTCAATCTGGACTGGTGGAACTATCTCCAAATTAAGTCTAGATTTCAAGAAGATAGAGATAGAAGGGGTATTGAAATGAAATATGGATATTTTGATAAAATCATTTGGGGTCCAGATAAGAAAATGTTATCCAAAATTTATAACTTTATATTAGATGAGGATAGAGCGGAGATGATAGCTAAAAAACAGTTAAGCATTTGGGAGAAAAACTTAGGATATGGCCTTAATTTCAATGACTGGGAGACAGCTTGGAATAGGAACCTCAAAATAACAAAATCGTCAACATTCAGGGAAAACCACTACAAAATGTTGCATAGGTGGTACCTAGCCCCGGACAGGCTGGCTAAAATATTCCCAAACTCTTCTGCTTTATGCTGGAAATGTGGAAAAACGGTCGGCACCTTTTATCATCTTTGGTGGACTTGTCCTGAGACCAAAAAGTTTTGGTTAAAGATCCGACTCTGGCTCTCTGAAATAATGGGACAGGAGATAGTCCTGGCCCCGGAATTCTTTCTCTTAGGTATGACGGAAGATGGTCTCAACAATAATAAAACCCATTTGGCAATTCAAATTATTACTGCGGCTAGAATAGCCTTTGCGAAACTTTGGAAATCTAAATCTACCCCCTCTGAGGAAACATTAATAAATAAAATCCTAGAGTGCGCAGAGATGGCTAAACTGACAAACGAGCTAAAAAATGAAGAAAATTCTAAGCACTATGAAGTATGGGGAATTTGGTATAATTGGTTAAAGAATAGGATAAAAGTACGATAATAGGCTATAGTTGCTTAAACACCAGAAATGGACTCAATGGTATAGAAATGTAGACGATTATATAGTATTGTATAATATAATGTATAGTGATAGTTATGGATGGAATCCATCCAATATTTGACTTATGAAATGTGTAAACACCGTACCCCGGATCAAGATTGAGATTGTATTTTGTCTTTTTAAATATTGGAAAACTCAATAAAGTATATTTAAAAAAAAAAAAAAGAATTCCTGGAATATTTTTTTCCTGGAAGTTGCTACAGGGACATAAGTAGCTATACTATAATGAATCATACTAATTTTAGTTCACATAGCACCATATTTCCTACATTGACTGGAAGGTACATCCCATGTGGTGGGTGGGATTGAAACAAATGGTAGGTGGAGCCAGAACCAAAAATAAGTAGAACCATGTATCTGTCTATCATCCCCCTCCCTTTCTCATTTTGACATCCTTCTGTGTAACTTATTGCTATCAAATGAATATATATATATATATATCACACTTGTCAGAAGTCTGAATTGATTGCTTAGAGAAGGATTTTGAAATCAAAGGCTATGTGAAATTAGATAAAATGCACCCATTTCCCAATCTTGAAGAAATGTTCTTTCTAAACAAGGGAAGCAGTAATTGAGAATAATGGCCATTTGCTTGTCCAAGGGTTATTGCTATTTTTCCTGGACAAGTAAGAGAGAAGTGATTAGTTAACCTGTGATGGAGGAAGACATCACCTTACGGCAGGGGTGGGTTCTACTTACCTTTACTACTGGTTTGCAACAGGAGTGTGCACGCTTTGCTTGCACACACACTTGTGCTTCTGTGCATGCGCAATTGCCAAATATGATGTCAGGTTGGGTGGGCGGAGCCTCCCGCCGCTTTTACTACCAGTTCTCAAGAACCAGACAGAACCTGGAGCAACTCACCACTGCCTTAAGGTGAGAATCCTTTGTATCCTGTATGCATGCCCAGGCTCTCTTTATGTTCTAATCCAGTGTACTTGATTTGAAGGCCTCAGCACCTGTCTGGATTGGAAATGGTTCGAGCTCTATGTGATGGACAGATGGAAGGTGGAGACATCGGGTCAACAGAGATCACTTTCACACCTGGGAAGATCAAGGGTGGAACTCACATAGCGGACACTAAAACAGCAGGGTATTATTTTCTGCATTTGTATTAATTAGCACTCAGTTTTGAAGATAACCTATACATTAAAGCTATAGAATTGTGTCTTTCCAAATGTATTTCATACAATTCTACCATCCCCAGTCAGTAAAGGGATGGCTCAGTATGATATGGGAATTGTAGTCCAATGCACCTAGTCGACAATGCACCTAAGTATGATATAGGAATTATAGTCCAATGCACCTAAAAGACACCAGACTAAGAAAGATATTGCTGCAAAATGAAAGAAAAGGTATAAATACATATACATACATATACACTGATATTTTTTTATTATGTCCTGATTTTTTGGGGTAGATTTTTCTGCTGTTTTCTAAGAAAAAATCTTTTGTAAAGAGCATTTTTTTCTATGGATTTTTCCCTTTTGTGAATCCTGGAGCCTTTGATTGAAGTCCAGTTTCTGCAATTGCAAAATTCTAACAGCAAATTACAAGTGCAGAGTGGCTCAGAATTTCAATGTTTAGATTGACCAGTTGTTGAATTAATAGTGGAAATTTCGGCTTAGTTCCAATCCTTGTTTAGCTATGAAGCTGACTGAGTTGGAGCCAATTGCTTTCTCTCTAAATTTAATTAGTGTTTCTTAAAGTGTGGACTTAGGACTTCTGGGAGTCCTGCAAGTCTCTCTCAGGAGTCCATGAAATCAAAATTATTTGCCAGCCTTTGTTGAAATACAATATTAAAATCTCATCAGTTAATGAGAAGCAGTAGTGGCAGCAAATGCAGCAATTTTAATTTTTAATGCACTGAATATTGGTAAATGTAATCTTTAAAAACAAAAGTTCTTTGGGCTCCTCCATAACTTTTAAAAGTGAAAACGGTCCTGAAAAAAAAAGTTTAAGAACTACTGCTCTAAAGCTTACGGAGAATAAAATGGAAGGTGGGTAGGAAAGAAAACCATAGATGTATTTCCCCTAGACAGCTCAAGAAGGGAGGGTGTAAAATCAGCTAAAAAATCATAGAGTTGAATGGACTATTTAAGCACTTGAGTCCCACTCCTTGCTGGGAACATAATGAGAGCATAAACCTATTTTGTCTATGCATTTTTTTTTAATCATAGGAGTGTTTGCTTGCTAATGCAAGTGGCCATGCCCTGTGTCCTTTTTGCGGCCTCTCCTTCTGAACTTCGTTTGAAAGGTGGCACCAATGCAGAGATGGCTCCTCAGATTGACTATACGTTGATGGTAAGTAGAAGTTCATGTGCTTAAGGTTGGCCCTTGGATCTTGTAGATCAAGTTAGCCTTCATTTGGGGTTGTTTCATAGTGGACTTGTCCAATTAGTTTTATCAGTGCAGATACTGAGAATATGTTCACCATATTTGCTGGTCCTCAAGCATTTTTAATCATGCGTCTGCCTGAAAGTATGGCAGAAAAGAAAAGAAAAATTAGCTTTTAAAAGCTGATGTCATAAATTAAATTAAATCAAGCACAGGAGGTTCAAAATACTCATGAGCCAAGACTCGCCCCCTTTTTATGTGTTCTGATGTGCTGCCTTGTTAAGTTTTTAAAGCTTGTGCAACATCTCTGGTGAAGCCAGTGATCAAGCTTTTTAGAACAATGTTAAAACAAGTTAAAACTGCTTTAATCAATTTATTCAGATTATAATAAATGCCTTCATATCTATTCATTTGTACTTGTCACAATCAAGTGAACGGTTATTTCCGAACTTCGTTTGCTGCTTGTAATTACTCAGTTGGATGCTAAATATTTTTATTACTGAAAATAATGGGATTCTGTGGATAACATGGCACATCTGCCCACATTGCAAAGAGGGTGATTATAATATAATCGATTGTTTTATTTTTATTGATTAGGTATTTCTTAGTCAAAGCTGTGTGTCAAGTGAAAAACAGACGGGGGTAATTAGTTCTCACGGAATTTGGTCCGGGGGGTTGCAAACATTTCAATAACAAACTAGGTAACTTCATCATTATTATCAAACTTGGTAACCAGCACTGATGATACTACCTAGTTTGGTGATGAAATGTCTGCAGGAAAACAACCAAACAAACAAAAACCAGAGACCTCAAGGATTACACAGTTCAATCCTGAGCTACAAATATTCTTTTCTATTGGAAACACAGAGAATGAGAATGATTTTGTCTGCCTGAAAAGAAATGAAACGGCATATTATCCCTCCTCCTAATTCTTTCTCTAGGACAGGGGTGTCAAGCTCACGTCATCACAGCGGCGTCATGTGATGTATCGGGACTTTTTCCCCCTTGGTTAAACCGGGCATCGGTGTGGCCAGCGTGTGATGCATCTGGCCCACGGGCCGGGAGTTTGACAGCCCTGCTCTAGGATATCTCCTACATTGCCTCATGTCACATAAAATGATAGTCATCGTGGGCCTTGAAAACACTTGGCTCCGTTCCTTTTGTTTTATGCCCAAAGGATTATCTATGAGATTCTACTTCTAATTTGTGGCAGATTAGAATATGTCCCAGGCACATAGAAGTGATTTGCACAAATCATAGTTTGTCCTTAAAACATGAAGAAATTGCAGCTTTTGACAGCAAACAATTGTCAATAGAAATTGCAGTTTTCCATATTCGGATAAAATAGGAGTGAGGCCTTCAGGCAGATAGATTTGCTGTTTTTGCATCAACCTGGCAACATGACTAAAGGGTTCTTTGTTCATTAAAAGGGTGTACCTGCGTTTTTCATAAATGTATTTACTCTCCAGATCTTCAAGCCAATAGCTGAGAAGTTTGGTTTGATTGTAGACTGTGACATAAAAAGGAGGTGAGTTCCAGCTGTATGTTGAGTTGTGTCTTGTCTCTATGATTACAAATTTCCATCTCCAATAACTTACTTGCATTTTGCCAACAAAAGATATTCCCTTCCTTTAGCTTATGACCAGCTTTATTGGCCTTCTAAAGCAGAGTCCATTAAAAGTAAGTGCAGCTTCTGAAAATTAGAATATAGCTTCCTTTGAACTCTTTCATAACTTGTCCAAGTTGTTAAATAATATGGAACATATACACTGTATTTGTTAAATTATGACAATTATGACAATTATCTTTTTATTTTCTCCTTTGTTTCTTTGTCCTGGTTCCATCTTCTTTTTGGAACTTGCACATCACTCAAAGCCAGATGATTTTAGACCAAGAGGACTAGATATGCTTTGGGATTAAAGGGTGAGGTGATAGCTCCTTCTGCTCTTGAGCTGCCTCCTCTATGAACACTTATTTGCTGGGCCCCTGATATTCATAACCTGTTTGTGGGCTTATCAAAGATGCTCTAATGGGATGGTGTAGGAAATAGAACACTAGATTAAATGAGTCTTTTGCAAGATTACTGTTTATGTTTAAGAAGGTTTATTTTTAATGGCAGAAAAAAACATACCAACTCATTATTTTGATCTCTGCTTGTGTGTCATTATTTTTTAACAGGGGCTACTATCCTAAAGGGGGTGGTGAAGTGGTTGTCCGAATGTCCCCGGTTAAGCAGCTAAACCCAATCAATTTAATTGACCGTGGTACAGTGACCAAGATACATGGAAGAGCCTTTGTAGCTGGAGCTTTGCCAATCAAAGTAAGTATGTCTGATAGATTTAGGTGAGGAAAAGAGCTTATCCTGTAAGATTTGGATCCAAAGTTGGATTGAATTCACACTGCTTTAAGTTATAGTTTGGTTTAGTTAACATGTTAGAATTTGTAAATAGTAGTTTATGATTTCCTAGATGGAATGCACCAGTCCTCTGGTTATTGGCAAGCAATTGTTATGCTAACTATGGCTCTTAGAAAGATGCCATGTTACCTTGAAAAATAATATGGGCAATTTAGTTATGATAACAGCATAGTAGAGTGTTCATTTTATATTCCTCCAATTGTTGCCATATTAAGAAAATTGTTATGCAGTCATGAGGTTAAAAATAAATAGTGCCATTGTAAAGTACATTCTTTTCCTGAAGAAGATCCCAGATCCAGTCCTTTAATTCAGAGGTCCCCAACCCCCAGTTCATAGACCGGCACTGGTCCACAGCATGCCAGAAACTAGGCCGTGCAACCAAGCGAAGCCCCATCTGCAGGATGCAGGTAGCATACGAAAACACGCCCCCTCTGGTTCATGGAAAAACCTCTCCACAGAACTGGTCCCTGGAGCCCAAAAGGTTGGGGGCCACTGCTTTAATTGACATCTTCAGTTACAACAGGATACCAAAGCCAATAAGAAGGACATTTGTCTCTAAGATGTGGCAAAGCTGGTTCGGGTCAGAGATGACAATAGTGAACAAGATGAACAAATAGCCAATTGTTACAATGTAGTTTCTTCATTTTTGAAAGATGGTGATTATGAATGTTCCCTAAATGTGCCCATGACTTGATTATAAGAGCACCACTGAATAGGCCATTACAAAAGATTAATTAGTAATCCCCCTGAGCAGGGGTGGTATTCACTTACTTTCCCTACACTTCCCTACACATTTGCAAATGTGAGAGCGTGTGCGAGCCCGCTCGCATGTGCCCCGTCCCTGCATGCACCCGGCCTTCTGTGCATGTGTTTTGATTGTGTGCGTGCCTTCCGCGCATATGCCCGGCCTCAAAAATGTGCCTAAATAGGATGGCATAGAGCCTGGCCAGGTGGGCAAGCCCACCTGTGATTTCTGCTACTGATTCAGCCGAACTGGTCCGAACCACCTGAATACCACCTCTGCCCCTGAGTCTCTTTGCCAAATATGTTATGTGAAAAAGCTGGTGTATAATATAACTTCTGAGAGTTCTACTCTATCCTTGTCCGGAAGGTTATTTGATAGCCTTTGAAAAAATCCCTTTTTTGTTTTTACATCAGTCTCCCATCTGCTGAATGAGTCAAATAAGCCAGGTCACCTTATAAAGCTGCTCTGATTTAGATAAAATCATGGCTGAAATTTGTTCTGAGAGAAGGTTTTCCAATGAGACCTCCTTTCTGTAGCAGGGTTATCTAACCTGAGATCCTAAGACTTCTTGACACCATTCAGAGTCTGACATGGTCTCCAGAACCTCTCCAGAAGTTGTTTTATAGGGTTTTTTTGTGTAGTTAGTAATCTTGTAGTTTTTTTAATCACCAAAAAAACCTCAATAAACCCGAGGGCAGTAGACCTATTCCTGGGTTTGATTCAATTTAAAGACTTTCATGTTTATTTCTTTTTCCTACATACTTGAGTTCAGCCCCTGACTTGCCATTCAAACACCAAGTAGAACCTTCAACCTGAAATGGGTTCAGGTTGTACTATACAAATGGCAGGGATCATCAGGCAAGATACTCTAAGATAGTGATGGCTAACCTTTTTGTTGTTGCATACCGAAACTGCCCCCCCCTGCTCCCCCACCCCCGCGCATGTGCACGCGATCTCCCTGCTCCGTTTTGGGCCTAGTAGGCCGCCCTGCAGCCTCCTGGGACCAAAAATGGGCTGCACCCCCCTGCTCCCCCCCGCGCCCGGGCATGCGTATGCGATCCCCCAGATATGCGCACGTGTCTCCCACATGCACCCCACCCCCCCCACGCATGCGTAGCAGAGACCCGAAAATCAGGTGGCCGGCGGGAGGCACACACGCATGAGGGGTACAGCTGAGCTGGGCAACGGCTCGCGTGCCCACAGAGAGGGGTCCAGGTGGCACGCGTGCCATAGGTTCACCATCACGGCTTTAAGCAAACAGTCTCTAGATCAACTTTTCAGGAGACATCATTTGCAAATTTCTGCAAAATTGCAGTCTTTCCCTCCCTCTTTCCATGTAAAATACATATACGAAGGAAAGCTCTTGCATTGGGAATTCCATATATTCCTTTCATTTTGCTACTTTAGGTGGCCAAAGAGATGGCTTCTGCTGCAGTGAAATGCATCAGGAAAGAGATCCGGGATCTTTATGTCAATATTCAGACTGTTAGAGAGTCGGATAATGAGGCCTTTGGAACAGGATCTGGAATTATGTGAGTGAGTTTGGTTGTCATTTGAGAGTCCAGTTTATTGCCATAGGAAGCCAACTGGCTTCTTGTGAGCTGTTTTTGGGGAGGGAAAAGGAGGGGTGAGCTTCAATGGTTTCATATAATTCTATAAGTTTTTACTTTATTTAGAATTGTTGCAGAGACATCCACTGGCTGCTTGCTGGCAGGATCATCCCTTGGTAAAAGAGGTGAGAGCTTTACATTGCTTCATGTGACTTAGCCTCCTCGGTAGCCATTTTGTAAAAGGCTCAAACCAAAAACATGGCAGTGTTTTCCCTAGCATCACATCTCCAGCTCCCTTTTCAGGATTAAATCCAATTTATGTTGTTATCTGATGACAGCTTCATTATGACATATTTATTTATTTATTTCAATTGTATGCCACCCATCTGCCTGATAAGGCAGCTCTGAGTGGCATATAAATTTAATAAATAAATAATACCTCCAATAAGGTAACATGGGTCTTCAAGTCCAAAAGATCTCTTATTACAAATAGAGAGCTTGCCCTGGCTGAATCTGTAAGGCCAGATCTGAAGAGAAAGAGTACACACACATATACTTCAGTGGTGGGTTTCAAAATTTTTTACTACCGGTTCTGTGGATGTGGCTTGGTGGGCATGGCATAGGAAGGATACTGTAAAATCTCCATTCCCTCCTCAATCCAGGGGAAGGTTACTGCAAAATCCTCATTTCCTCCTGATCAGCTGGGACTTGGGAGGCAGGGAATAGATGGGGGCGGGGCCAGTCGGAATTTTTACTACCGGTTCTCCAAACTACTCAAATTTCCGCTACCGGTTCTCCAGAACTGGTCAGAACCTGCTGAAACCCACCTCTGATATACATATACATAAATTTATTGGCCTCCCATTTTACCACATGTATGAGAGGAGAGTGAGATAGAATTTGCTTTCTCTGCCCTTTGAATCTATATCTTTCTTCTAAATCATCTGGAAAAAGAGGCTGTGATGACAGGGAGCATTGTTGTTTAACATAAAGTAAGTAAAGGATTATTTGGAGACTTCCTTATAAGAAAGTTGGGACAGAAGGCTAAGAGAACTTGGAGAGAAAAAAGAGGAGAGGTAGAGAGATGATTAAATAAATACTTTATTACAGTCATAGACCAGCAATAGGCATACAATAAATTAAAAATAATATTGACATTAATTGTGAATAATAACATCCCTGTTATGAAAATACATGATCTCAAACCGTTAAGGTCACTCCCTAATTTATATGAGTGGAGGAGAGAGAGATGATTAACAAAAAAAGAGAGGGAAGGAAAAGCAAAGGGAAAACCGAAGATAAGAGACACCTTAGCGGCATAATGAAACAGTATACTACCTTAGCTGTGATAGCCAAATCTGCATTAAGTTAGTGATTCGTTCATAACACCAGGGACATCATTTGCATCCATATACTTCATTTGCATCATTATGTCAACATGTTTCAATGCCTGTGGCTTTGGGTCCATTGCACGCAAAATTCATTGTATCAAGGTTCACTAAATTGAGCTCTTACCATAGCACATATTTGGGAGAAACCATAATAGACATACTAAATCAAATATAACTTCAATTTATTCTAAATCAAATATAACTTTATGAATATCTGACATCAAATTTCATCACAGAGCAAAATTTTGTAACTCTCCCTGACTACCTCGTGAAGGTGAATGAATGCCTTTTATAATTAAACCATCCAAAGATAGAAATCTATTCTGAACATATTTTCATTTTTTTTGAAGAGGCAATCCTGTTAGATAAGCATTTTATTTACATCACATCCCTATTTAATTTTTCTTGCAGGTAAAAATGCAGACAAAGTTGGAATCGAAGCAGCAGAGATGTTGCTGGGAAACCTTCGGCATGGAGGTGCTGTGGATGATTATCTGCAGGACCAAGTAAGATCTGCATGTGGGAAGTCTCTCACAAAAAAGTATAAACTGAGATGTCATAATTACACCTTCTCATACATGTGGATTAGGGTTCCAAGAAGTTAACTGATTCAGTATCCAGGTTTTCTCAATCTGTCACCCACAAGCTACCGTGACCTGTGAAGTGCTATCATCTTCAATTGCTGGTGCAGGGGTGAGATGCTCCCGGTTTGGACCGGATCACCTGATGGGTAGTGGGTAGTTCAGAGAAAACAGGTAGCAAAAATCCCTGCCCTCCCCCCCCATTGCCCAGCTGAACCGCGCAATCATCAGAGGCTTTTTTTTAATTTTTAAAAGCATTTTTTCTACAACCTCTTCAGCTGAAGAGGTTATAGAAAAAATGCTTTTAAAAGTAAAAACAAAGCCTCTGCCGATCAGGCAAGTCAACTAGGATCGTCAGAGGCTTTAAAAAAAAGAAAAAGCCTCTGCCGATCAGGCAAGTCAGCTGGGATCGTCAGATTTTAAAGCATTTTTTAACAACCTCTTCAGCCGAATATTACCCCCCCCCAAGCCACACCCACAGAACCGGTAGTAACAAAATTTACATTTCACCACTGTGCCGGTGGGTTTGAGTTGTAAACCAACACAGCTGGAAAGTGAAGTGGAAAGAAAGCTGTTTTTAATACGGTAACTCCTGAGCTTTATTAGGAGCATACTAATAAGGAAATAGTCTGACATTTCCAGCATTTCAGACCAACCTCACCTCACTAGAAAACAAATAGAAACATTCTCTCTCTTTTTTCTTTGTTTTTAACACCATTTCTGTTGTATGCCATGAGGAAGAAAAAACTTAGCTAAACTCTTCAGAGGTTTAACTTTCTACTATATTGGGGAGCCTGACTAGGTGGCTCAGTGGCTAAGATGCTGAGCTTGTCTATCAGAAAGGTCGGCAGTTTGGCGGTTCAAATCTCTTTTTTTTTTTTTTTATTGAAAAAGTTTTTCAAATACAAGTTTTTCCCCCTTTTCCTCCCTTCTTCCCCAACCCGCCCTCACCACCCATCCCCCCCTGTGACTTCTTCTTCACAACAATAAGCTAATTCATAATTAATTACATAATATTTTACCATGCCCTTACTCACTCCTCAAAGTACTGACCCTTAGCATAGTATTCTTATAACTCCGCTTTTCTCCGCTTTTCACAATCTACCCTTTTTCTCCTCCCCCAAACTTATAAAATATTATTATTATTACAACAACATAACTTTTACTTTTATATATATTAATTTAACATTTCAAAGCAGCCTTCTCCAAATTTATTCAGTTCTATCCAATTCTTCCACTCCCCAAAATATATGACTTAAAAATCCTTTTTCTTAAACTAATCAATCACTAAACTAGCCTATTTCAACCCAGTTTCCTGCAAGATTACCATGCACTACAATTCTAAATATAATCCACTGCCCACTCTGCTGAAATATACATATGTCTATATATACATTCCATTTTATAAAAAGAGAAAAGACAATAACTTTAAATTTATAATTCATTTAGTATCTTCTTTGATGTCTTTCCACTAGATTGTTAAATCCGTCATCCATAATAGGGTAACATAGCATCCTGGTGCAACAGTTTATTCAAAATCTTCAGTCATCTTCTGCCCCCATCAATAATGAATATCCTCATGTATATATAAAAGTAAAAACAACCACCCGAGTGACATTATAATTATATTCCATATAGTTGTAATTGTGGTTTTCATCAGGATTATAAATCCCCATCATCTTAGTGGGTAACAGCCAGATCTTCTGCATGCCCCAGCATGACTCTCTTGCCTTGTAACTCAAAATAGATATAATATATTTATCGGTAAAAGAAATCCAAAATAGATAGTTCAAATCCAACAATGTAAGGCTCTTTCCACATCCCAAAATCACGGCATTGCAGAGATCTGCCACTTTCCTCAAGATAGTATTAAACGATAATTCGCCTCCAATATCTTTTCACATATTCATTTATTTTTTTTTTAAATCCCTGGCTTCACTGTTGCTTGGTTTAGAAACTACTATTTCTACGAGATCTGTTTCTTTTCTTTTTCTTTTGCGGGTTGCATTTCCATCCAGATTTCCTTCCTACAAGTTGTGTATCAGCTGATCGGTTGTCATTCTGCTTTGTAAATTGATCTTGTTGGTTTTGTTTTATTATCTCATATGTCTTTTCCATCACTTGTATATCAACTGGGTGATTTACGCACTTGTCTGTAAGTTGATAGTTCATCACATTAGAATCAGATGACACTGCTCTCAAATTTATAGACAGTCCAGCTGGGGTATCCAAGGAGTCCAAAGACAGTTTATCTACCACAGCCTCTGTAATTTGATGTTTTCCCTTTATTTCCAACTCCTTTTGCTTGTCCTGTGTTATGCCTAAAGATGTTAGATTTATTTTTAAAATTTTTTGATAAAATTCTTCCGCTTTTTTCGACAGTATTCAGTTGGTATCTTACTCCTTGGTGTCTCAATATTAAACCAACTGGGACGTCCCACCTAAATAGAATATTCCTTTTTTTTAACTCATTCACTAGAAAACCAAATTTCTTCCTCTCCATTAACATCTTGGGCGGGAGTTCCTTAAAAATCCAGATCTTCCTTCCACGAAATTGCAAAGCAGAATCATAAGAATTCTGGACAATATTATTTCTAATTTCTTTGTCTGTAAAATAAATCACCACATCTCTAGGCAATTGCCTTTGTTTTGCCAACCAGGAGTTTATTCTATAAATTCTGTCAATCCTGCAAAACACTTCATCAGGTTGAACCTTTAAAATCCCAGCCAGAATTTCAGAAGATATCTTCCTTAAATCTCTGTCATCTTCCTGCAAACCTCTCAGTCTAATTGCATATTCTGTAAAATTGTATTGGATCATTAAAACTTCTCTTTCAATCCTCTGTTGTACATTTTCTTCATTAACAGTCTTTTGATCAGCCTCCATTTTAAGTTTGTCTTCTGAACTATTATCCTGAATGTTTGCCAAATCCTTTTTAATTTTTTGGATCTTGTCATCCAAATTCTCCTCAGTTTCTTTCATTTTAGAGTTAGTATTTGCTTCCAACTGAGTCATAAAGTCTGCTAAGCCATTAGCTACTTTTAAAATCTTTCGATCCAAAAAGCCAAACTTAGATTTCACCAATTCACCAATTTCTTTGATTTCCAACTTAAATTTTTCAAGTTGCTGATTCACAATCTCATCCCTTCTTACAATCTCCTCAAGAAGAAATTCTATTATATTAAAGTCAGGTTTCTGAGACTGGAGAGTTAAAACTTGTTGATGTAATTTATTAATGGGGGAATCCCCCCCCACTGCCTGTTTGTCTAGTTTTATAAGTCTCAGTGCCATTTTTCCACGCAGACAAAATTTACTGGAAAAGAGAGAAAAAAAAACTTTTTTTCCAACCAAGATCAATATCAGATCCTCAAAGAGAGAAGAAAAAAAAAAAAAGAAAAAAAAAACAGAAGTGAGAGTGAGATTTTGCCTTCAGTTACAGCCAAAAGTATTCATTCCGCTACTTTGTAATTGAAAACGGAAGGAGTTTCCCTTTCAGCCTCTCTTCAAGCCGCAGCAGCAATCGCCATTTTAAAAAAAAACTTTTTTTCCCTTCCCTTCACTTCTTAGGCAAAATAGAATAAAAAGAATACTTGCGCTTCAGGATCAGAGGTCCAGCTCATATCTTCTTTAATTAATTTATTTGACAGATTTACAGGCTTGCTTTTGCCCCCTAGCTCTGCGTGTAGCAGAGATTTCCCAGAGCCCGGAGCATCGGCTGGGGATACGGGGAGTCTCTTCCGCTCCCTCCCAAAAGTAAATAAAAAACTTTTGGGATTAGGCAGAGGACTCTACCCACCCCAGCCGGCTCTATCTCCGTTTCCTAATGGAAACGGAGTTTTTTCGAGCCGCCATTCCGCTGAAAAAGGCGGCTCTTACAGGCAGTGGGTTCGACGATCCCGGAGGAGCGTCCAGCGGGAACAAGCAGCAAACCAGAAGTCCACGGTTCAAATCTCTTGTACAGGTCTCCTGTGTGAGCAGGGGATTGGACTACATGACCTCCAAGGTCCTTTCCAACACTGTTACTGTATTATGATATGACTGTTGTCCTGGGAAGAATTTTGAGCCACATGGATTCCTTTGTTTCTTCTCTTCTTGCATACATCAATTGGAAAAGAGGAACCCCAACTCTCCGGAGTTGGGATTTTCTGGCATTGGAAATCCCAGTCAATGTGGCTGTTAGTGAAAATGGAAAGGCAGATCTGACAAAAGAAAACCATTTAATTCAGCAGATCATTAACAGATCATTCACTATGAAAGGTTCTCTTTCAATTCCACCTGCAGTTCTCAAAAGCCACCTCTATAACTTTGCAAATTTTGACAGATATTTACAAAAAATTGGGCTTACTTTTCTATAGCCTTATTTTTCTGTAAACCTGCCTTTTGAAAAAAGAAAAGAAAAGAAAGTGATGTTTTCATGACACTAAATGCTTCCATTATTACAAAATAGTTGAGATAAAAATTTAATAAAGTGATACCCATCTTCGAGCCATAACACCAAACTGGCCTTCGAATGAATTCTGTTTAACTAGCGACAATAATAAATCAGCAAGCTAAAAAAATAGCCTGGAGATCCAGAATCTTGCCAGAGCAATAGAACCTTGCAGGGTGGATTTGATTTAAATCGAGTTGATTTAAATCACAATTTAAATCATGATTTAAATCACTAGTAAAAAGGCTTGATTTAAATCAACTCGATTTAAATCATAATTTTTAAAGAGCAACTGTCATCTCTGCTACTCCTTTGACCCACTGTTGACTCACCGATAGTCCCAGTGTTGCAGAATATACAGCCTCATGCTACATAACTAGCTCCATTTCATACTGAATAAACTAAATTATTTATGTATCTTAAATAGAAAACTGTCTTACAATAGATTTTTACCCCAAAAGTTTTTTATTAAAATAAATTCGATAAAAATCAAAAAAATCAGATTTAAATCAAAAAAATCAGATTTTTTTGATTTTTTTAAAAAAATCATTGATTTTTATCCACCCTGGAACCTTGTGTGAAACTGGAAAAGGTGGTAGATTTAGTGTATTTTACAACAGGGATGGTAAAAATACGTTGTAGGAGGACAGTCATGTTAAAAAAAAATCAAAAGGAGTCCCCAGGCCACAGTCCACTACTGGGCTGTGGCCTATTTGGAACTGGGCCACGCTCTGCGACCGCATGCATGCCAACCTGCCACTTACGTGGCCTGGTTCCCTTCTCCCCCATCCCATCGATCCCCAGCCAGGCTACCAAGCCACATAGGTTGGGAACCACTGTGGTAGAACCTTTTCTGATGAATATATTTTATTAAGTAATAATAAAAAGTAAGATTATTTTATAAATATCTTTAAGTATAGTGGCACTTACTCCCTAATTATGCATTCAGGATTGCATCCGTACATTTTTCAGTGAATTGACTAGTTGTAATCAACTCAGATCATTCAGAATGGTGCAAGCAAAAACATCTAGAAAGAAAGGCATCCCATAAAAGGATGCTCCGGTCAGATAGTGAAATAATGTGTCTTCTTTCTTCTTTTATAACAGAGTGTATTGCATCCTTTTAGGCATTTCTTAATGCTGGTTTGTTTTTGATTCCCTCCAGCTGATCGTTTTCATGGCTTTAGCAAATGGGAAATCAAGAATAAAAACTGGACCAATTACACTGCACACAGAAACGGCTATACATTTTGCTGAACTGCTGACAAAAGTAAGTACCAGTTTTCTTTACAGATCAGCTGATTTTCCAAAACTGTCAATCTGGCCAGGATTAGTATCATACGATCTCTAGTGAAAAAAGGGCTGGCACAGGATGGTTTACTGGGAAGCAAAGGATACAGTGATGCCCTCCACAATTCAATCTCTACAGGAAAGAATGGCAATTACTTTTGATATATTGAGCCTAAGATAGGATGCATAACAATTGTAGCTTTTATCCTCCAAATCCTTACTGCTATCCAGCACCTACTTTATGAGGTAGCTGCCTTGCCTTGTCTACTGACTGGATTATGGAGTAATCTGCCTGAAGATACCTTTAACCATCCACATTTTGTACAGTGGGTGCATGCCAGCAGGACACCAACTTTAAATTTCCCTGACTATCATAATGAGTAGCACATATCAGATATATAAAGTCTTTTTGGGGATGGCACCTGACTTCAGAATGTTCTCTTTGGGGAATTCAACTGATGCTGACATTTCAGTAATTATAAATATGACCTTATAAGTCAGTGATGGCTAACCTTTTTTTCCTTAGGTGCCAAAAGCTTGTGATAGCGCATGCGTGCGTGCCCACACCCATAATGCAATGCCCCTGAGGCACGCCCTGCCCCCTGAGCATGCACGCGCGACCCCCCTGCACCCCATTTTGGGCCTAGCAGGCCTCCCTGAAGCCTCTGCAGGCCAGAAATGGCCTGTTTCTGGACTTCTGGTAGGCCCATTTTTCGTCCTCCCAGAGCTGCCGCGTGAGCCCTGTACTTACCTGGCGTGAGCCCTGTACTTACCTGGCATCCAAAACGGGCCGTATGGAGACTCCTGGGAGGGGAGGGGCAGCATGGGCATGCGTGCACGTCTCTCACATGTGCAGGAGAGACCCGAAAATCAGCTGGCCGGCGGGAGGTGTGCGCGCATGCGCGGTGGAGCTGATCTAAGGCGATGGCTTGTGTGCCCACAGAAATGGCTCCGTGTGCCACCTGTGGCACCTGTGTTATAGTTCGCCATCACAGTTATAGATAATCCTCCCTTACTGCCTCATTCAGCAGCTGTTTAAATTTATGGTAATACTGAAAAGTTTTTAGATCAGTCCTTGAACCTATGGCCATCACAGCGTTCTTGCAATCATATGATTATGATTTGGCACTTCACAACCAGTGTGCATTTATGACCGCATCCATAGATGCATGATCAGCATTTCTGACCTCCAAAGCTGGCTTCTCACAAGAGGAATCAATGGGGAAGCTGGCAGGAAGTCATAAGTCTTGGTTGCATGATATTGCCCTTAATGACCGATGGTGATTTGCTCAATGACTGTAGCAAAACTGAAGTCCAGTGCAGTCACATGACTTTTTGCTTAATGACATTGCCAGTCCTAATTGCACTGAGGATTTATCTGTATTTATAATTTTTGAATTTTTGTGTGTGTTGTACTTTGCCTAGAATCCAGTTTATGCGAACAACAATTTTAAGAAAGCATGCTTTTTTTGTTTATTATTTGCAGGCTAAGTTTACAGTGACAAAATCAGAAGACGACTCTTCCAAGGATGCCCATATTATTGAGTGCCAAGGAATCGGATTGCTAAATACAAATCTCTAGTTATTGCTCTGGGTGGGATGGTGTTATGTTTATTTTGGTTTGTTTTTCTTGAAATATCTGCATAAATGTATTGCACTTCGTTCACTGGAATGTTTGAATAAAGTGCTTCCTTAAATTCCCTTTATTATTGAATTAATAATAAATTTACTTATTTATTGGGCTTATATCTTGCCTCAGCCCAAAGACTATTAGTAGCTTATGTGATAGGAATGGGTTGATTGAAATAATGGCATCTAAAACTCAACGTTTTAATTTGGACTTCATCCCTTCCCCTCCCAACAATGGACAAAATATGTTGTTTCCGAAGCTGTCCAGATAACTGATAGTATTTGCATCACAAGGACACTGATGGTTTTTCACCATTTGTATCCTCTTTGATAAAATGGCCCTTCAACTATATAAATAAGGTCAGTTAGAATTTAAGGGAAATCCCTTTTTCACCACATGGCCCTAAACGAAATTGTAGTTTAAACTGAACAAATAAGGCTTATTAGATCTGGGTTTCAAAATGTCAGATCCCTCAGTTTTAACAATTTCCCATCTTATTGTTAGGGCAGAAAACAATTCTGACACCTTAATTGCAATGTTCTTTGCTTTAAATTAAATTCAATATAACTTAGCTTTGTGAGGGGAGAAAAGGAAGGAAGGAAATTTCTATTATTTTCCACTCCATTTTATCTAGCGGTTAATCACCAGGCTAAAAAGTAGAAGACTATGAATTCTAGTCCCACCTTAGCCATGAAAGCCAGCTGGATGATCTTGGGCCAGCCCCTTTCTCTCAGCCTATTTATCAATTCAGGGTAATTATTGTGAGGAAAAGAGAAGGAGGAAGTTGTGTTGGATATGTTTGCTGTCTTGAGTTATTTGTAGAAACAAAGGTGGCAAACAAAGAAAGAAAGGAAAGGAGAAAGAAGAAGACAGCCTATTGATTTTGAAGTCCCAACGCTCCACTGATCTGAAGGACAAAGTTAAAAGCATAAAGTTCTTTGCAGTTCTTCTATGACTTGGAAATGAGAAACCCAAAGGAGCTGGTTCTCCAACTTTAGCGAATGGCATCAACTTTTCAATGGCCAGCCTCTTTAGCATCTTCCAACAAGTATCAAAGTCATGTTAACGAATTGCTAATCTTAATAATGCCTCTATCAAGAAAAAGCATAGACCAAGTGATTTAGATGGACCAGCTCGAGTTGAAGCTAATTCATGGCTCACTTGCAAAAGTCCCTTAATAGATTGCTAATCAATTAACAGACCAGGTCTTCATTTAAAAGCAACCAATTTATTATTATTTTTCAAATCTCAGGTCCGGGCCACATCAAAGCCTTTATATTGTTGATGACATTGCTGGCTCCTAAACTCATTGGTTGATGGTTGCCATGGCAATTGTCAACACTTCCGACAGCTCATTATTCTAGACTGCAGTGCTAGGAAATTGTGTTCAAAATAACTGGAAAACAACTCTGTTTGATTCAGGAGCCAAAATGTGGGCTTTGGGATGTCTCTTGTGATGACAAAGATGAAAATTAACCTGGCTTAATGATTTGTGGAATTTAACCTAAAAAGTGACTCCATTGGCCAGTTACACTTCCAATGCCATTGCCTGTTTGTTGAAACTACTATCCAATGCATGTCAAGTCCTGCTTTTAAGCTGCTGACAGCTCATTTTGATGGCAATTTTTGTCAAAAGTGACTGCCATAGATAGATCAAACCTAGAAATTCTACTGTCCTATCAGTCAGTGGCTATTTCCCAAAAACACTTGGCCTATTGACTGAAATATTTTAGTAGCTTTTTATTCGTTTTTTAAATCTTTCCTTTATTGTTTTTAGAAGTAACTCAAGGCAGTGAATATGCCTAAGATTCCTTCTTCCTCTTTATTTTTGGAACTTCTGAACCAGGCTGTCAGTATATTTTGAGGGGCTGGTCATGACTTTGGATAAGCACTTTTTATTGTTATCCGGAGTTCTATAGAAATGCCAGAGATGGAAAAATTAATACATACCTCCAAAAAGTTTGGAGGGATTTTATAGCTAAAAAGCCTTGAACTGGATTCAGAATAAAATGGGAAATCAGTACAATTTGAAGAGAAATCAGTATTGATGGATTATGTCAGTGTTTCTCAAACCTGACCACTTTAAGACATGTGTGGACTTCAATTCCCAGATTTCCTCAGCCAGCACGCTGAATTCTGGGAGTTGAAGTCCACAAGTGCCTTAAACTGGTCAAGATTGAAAAATACTGGTCTAAGCCGTTCGGGTTCAACATCTGGCCGGACCTCTGCATCACAGCCGGAGACTGCAACTTACATTGACCAAAGGAACACCAAAACGGCTTAATTTTCTATCATGAAATGAAAATAGTTGATGTGGCCAGCATGACTATCTAACCTCAAGTGGAAAGATCTGGCTAGCCTGAATTTGCAACCACTAGCAACCAAATGGAGATCAGCCTGGTTTGAGTCTGCAATGTTTACTGAAGAAAAGGAGACCAGCCCACACTGAGTTTCCAGCCTCAAGAAAGGGAGACTAGGCTGGCCTGAGTTTGCAACCTCCACTGACAAAAGAACGACGAGGCCAGCCTCAGATTTCAACCTCCAATGAGCAAAGAGAGGTGAGGCTGGTCTCATTTTACAACCTCCAATGAAGTACGAGAGATCACTCCAGCTGGACTCCGCAACTTCCATTGACAAAAGGGGCCTCAGGCCGGCCTGATTTTCCATCCTGAAATGAAAAGAGATGATCAGGCCAGCCTAACTTCCCAACCTCCAGTGACCAGGAGATGTAGCTCACCTGAGATTATAACCACCAGCAACCAAGTAGAGATCAGACCGGTCTGATTCTGCAACATTTTATTGAAGAAGGGGAGATCAGACCGGCCTGAGTTTGCAACCTCCACCGATGAAAGAAAAATGAGGCCGGCCTCAGATTTCAACCTCCAATGAGCAAAGAAGTGAGGCCAGCCTCATTTTACAACCTCCAGTGAAGAACCTGAGATTATAACCACCAGCAATCAAATGGAGATCAGGCCCGTCTTGTCTGCAATGTTTACTGAAGAAAAGGAGACCAGACCGGCCTGAGTTTGCAACCTCCATCAAGAAAGAAAAATGAGGCCGGCTTAAGATTTCAACCTCCAATGAGCAAAGTGAGGTGAGGCCAGCCTCATTTTACAATCTCCAACAATGAGTTGGACATCCCTCTGGCCTGAGTCTGCAACATCCATCAAACAAAGGGAGATCAGGCTGGCCTGATTTTGCAATCTGAAGTGAAGAAGAGCAGATCAGGCCGGCCTGACTTTCCAGCCTAGAGTGACCAACAAGAGATCAGGCCAGCCTGAGTATGCAACCACCATCAACCAAGTGGAGATCAGCCTGTTGGGAATCTGCAACCTCCTGTGAAGAACAGGAAATCAGGTTTCAATCCTGACCATTGAAAGGAGGTGAGACTGGCCTCAGAGTGCAACCTCCAGCATGCAAAGAGAAACAAGGCCAGCCTCCCCCCCCCCCCAAAAAGGAGGGGGAGATCAGGCCAGCTTGAGTTGCTATCTCCACGGACTGAGGGAGATCAGTCTACCCTAGAGTTGTGACCTCCAGCGACCAAATGGAGTTCAGGCCAGTTATAATCTGCAACCTCCAGTGAAGAAGGGGAGCCCAGAGTTTACAATCTCCACCAACGAAAGGGAGGTGAGGCTGGCCTCAGATTCCAACCTCCACTGAGCAAAGAGAGACAAGGCCAGCTTCATTTTACAACATCCAACAAGGAATAGGACATCAGGCCAGCCTGAGGCTGCTACTTCCACCAACAAAAGAGAAATGAGGTTGGCCTCAGATTCCAACCTCCATTGAGCAAAAAGAGGTGAGGCCGGTCTCATTTTACAACCTCCAAGGAAGAATGAGACATCACTGCAGCCAGAGTCTGCAACTTCCAACGACCAAGGAGAGATCAGGCTGGCTTGAGTTTTCAACAACCTAGTGGAGATCAGGCCATGAGTCTGCAATGCTTACTGAATAAAAAGAGACCAGACTGGCTTGAGTTTGCAATCTCCACTCACGAAAGAGAAATGAGGCCAGCCTCAGATTTTAATCCCCAGTGGGCAAAGAGAGGTGAGGCTGGCCTCATTTTACAACCTCCAGCAGAATGGGAGATCAAGTTGGCCTGAGTCTGCTACCTTCACCTACTAAAGGGAGATGAGGGCAGTCTGATTTGCCAATCTGCAGTGACCAATGAGAGATCAGGAGAAAAGGAGACCAGACAGGCTTGAGTGTGCAACCTCCACCGATGAAAGAAAAATGAGGCTGGCCTCAGATTCCAACCTCCAATGAGCAAAAGAGGTGAGGCCGGTCTCATTTTACAACCTTCAATGAAGAATGAGAGATCATGCCAGCCAGAGTACACAATTTCCATCAACGAAAAGGGCCTCAGGCCATCCTGATTTTCCATCCTGAAATGAAAAGAGATGATCAGGCCGGCCTGACTTCCCAACCTCCAGTGACCAGGAGAAGTAGCCAACCTGAGATTATAATCACCAGCAACCAAGTGGAGATCAGGCCGGTCTGAATCTGCAACTTTTATTGAGAAGGGGAGATCAGACCAGCCTGAGTTTGCAGCCTCCATCGATGACAGAAAAATGAGACTGGCCTCAGATTTCAACCTCCAGTGAGCAAAGAGAGGTGACGCTGGTCTCACTTTACAACCTCCAACGAAGAACAAGCAATCATTGCAGCCATGGTCTGCAACTTCCAACGACGAAAGGAAGATCTGGCCAGCCTGACTCTCTAACCTCCAGTGACCAAGAAATGTAACCAGGCTGAGTCCGCAATCTCCAGTGAGCAAAGAAAGATTGGCCAGTCTGAGTTTGCAATCTCTTATTGACAAAGTGGAGGTAAGACTGGCCTGAATTTGCAACCGCCTAGAAAGTGAGAAAGAGAGAGATACGTCCTGCCAGAGTTTGCAACCACTAGAGAGAAAAGAAGGATGAGCCTGGCCTGAGTTTGCAACCTCTATCAATCATGGGGAATCAAACCAGCCTCAGTTTGCAACCTCCAGCGAGTAAAGAGAGAGAAGGCTGGCCAGCGTTTGCAACCTTTAGAAACCAAAGAGAGATGAAGCCAGCCTGTGTTTCCAATTTCCATTGGCGACGGCGATGTAAGACTGGCCTGAGTTTACAATTGTGCAGCTGCAGAGCTGGCAGCAGATTCGGACAGTGAGGAGGTTGGGGAGGAACATGGGTCAGTCCTGCAGTCTGGGGAAGACTCTGCATCGGAGGAGGCAGAGATTGGGCCAGGGCAGTCTGACAGTTATCAGTTGCCTTTGGAGTCAGACATCAGTGAGGCAGACAAACAGCTGGAGCCTATTCCCAGTGTGCGCATGCACAGAGTTTCCAGATGAAGGGAACAGCTGAGGAATAAGAGTTGACTTGGGAGTAAGACCACAGGTGGACGATGAATGGCCCCTCCCATAGGTATTAAAAGAGGAGCGAATAGGGAGGGGAGTTTGCAGGAGACAATTAGTTCGCTTAATTGGTTCGTGACTCTCAGAGAATCCTTGGCAAGTTTTGAAGATATCGGCCTGGTTGGTCTCCAAGTTAGATAAGGTCTGTGACTGTAAATGCTCTCTTGAAAGACTTCATTGGATGTGAATGTGGCCAGAAAGATTGGCCAGTCTGAGTTTGCAATCTCTATTGACAAAGGGGAGGTAAGCCTGGCCTGAGTTTGCAACCGCCCAGGAAGTAGAGAGAGAGATATGTCCTGCCAGAGTTTGCATCCTCTAGAGAGAAAAGAGGGATGAATCTGGCCTGAGTTTGAAACCTCTATCAACCATGGGGTATTGAAACCAGCCTCAATTTGCAACCTCCAGCAAGCAAAGAGAGAGGAGGCTGGCCCGCATTTGCAACCTTTAGCAACCAAAGAGAGATGAAGCCAGCCTGAGTTCCCAATTTCCATTAGTGAGGGCGATTTAAGACTGGCCTGAGTTTGCAACCACCCAGGATGTAGAGAGAGAGAGATACGTACTGCCAGAGTTTGCATCCTCTAGAGAGAAAAGAGATATGAACCTGGCCTCAGTTTGCAACCTCCAGCAAGCAAAGAGAGAGGAGGCTGGCCCACATTTGCAACCTTTTAGCAACCAAAGAGAGATGAAGCCAGCCTGAGTTCCCAATTTCCATTGGTGAGAGCGATGTAAGACTGGCCTGAGTTTACAACCGTGCAATGAGCAGAGAAAGATGGACCTCACCAGAGTTTGCAATCTCTAGCACGCAAAGAGAGATAAACCCTGCTTGAGTTTGCAACGTCCAGGAACCAAAGAGAGATGAGGCCAGCCTAAGTTTGTAACCTTCCTTGACCAGGTCTTACCATTCTGAGTTTGCAACTCTAGTGAGCAAAGAAAGATTGGCCAGTCTGAGTTTGCAATCTCTATTGACAAAGGGGAGGTAAGCCTGGCCTGAGTTTGCAACCACCCAGGATGTAGAGAGAGATGTCCTGCCAGAGTTTGCATCCTCTAGAGAGAAAAGAGATATGAACCTGGCCTGAGTTTGAAACCTCTATCAACCAAGGGGAATCAAACCAGCCTCAGTTTGCAACCTCCAGCAAGCAAAGAGAGAGGATGCTGGCCAGCGTTTGCAACCTTTAGCAACCAAAGAGAGATGAAGCCAGCCTGTGTTTCCAATTTCCATTGGCGAGAGCGATGTAAGACTGGCCTGAGTTTACAACCGCAGAGAGAGCAGAGAGAGATGAACCTGGCCAGAGTTTGCAATCTCTAACATGCAAAGAGAGAGAAACCCTGCTTGAGTTTGCAACCTCCAGGAACCAAAGAGAGATGAGACCAGCCTAAGTTTGCAACCTTCCTTGACCAGGTCTCACCATTGTGAGTCTGCAACCTCTAATGAGCAAAGAAAGATTGGCCAATCTGAGTTTGCAACCAAATACGAGCAAGGGGAGGTCATCTGGTTTTTTGAAAGCACCTGGCTGCCTTCACATCCAGTAACCTAGCCAAGGTCAGCCTTGTTGGAGTTTGCAAGCTCCAGCAAGGAAACGGCTTATCAGCTCTTCAGCTTCTTTCTGCAATTTCTCAGAGCTCTGAGGCCTTGAAACTCTAGGGACATAAGGCTTCCTCCTCAACGTTCAGTCTCACCACTGGTGCGATTTTCCTGGTAAGGGTTGTGTTTGCCTGATTCGCCTGGCACACTAGGTAAGAAGTCCCCTCCTTCTCTCGGTCTCTTTCTCACTCCTCAGTCCTTTTGTGACAAGGTGCCTTGCACTGAACATCTGCTCCTGCCCATGATCTTGATCCCTGTCCCTTTAGGGAGGTTAACTGAGGGTCAGAGGGGACCACCTCCTTGCTGCAAGAAGCCCCAATCATAGGACAGCAGTTGGGCAGATGCTACCATCCTGCTGGAAAGCAGGACCATCATGGCTGCCAGAGGGACAGTGCATGGCTAATGGTCTGGCATCAGAGCAGACACCTCACTTTCACAGGTGCTCCAGGTTCAGCTCAGTACTGACCCGCATTGACTGGGTTGTCAGGAGAAAGAGGGGAGGGGAAAGCTCTAATGATCCCTCTCTTGCCCTTTGCAACTGTTTGCATCCTGAGGGAACCAAGACAGGAAGGACTGGCTTGGACAGTTACCCTGTAAGTACCCTGGGACTTGACTTTCACGTCCACCTCGTGTACGCCCTAAAAATAAACTTTTCTGTTCCAGACACAAATGTTGCTCCATTGATGCTCACTCTGGTTAGGTTCCTTCCAGTGTCTACAGACCGTCAAGTTTCTCCCTTCCCACAAAAGGCTAATTTTGGTAGGTAGAACCTGGTTATTTCTTCTTGGCCCTTTGGCTATTATTATGGAACTCCAGAATACGGGCTAACTCAGTAACCAGGATAAGCAGGATGTACAAATATGGCCACACAGAAAGGACTAAGCCATACTTGGGTTTGTCTGGTTTTGTTTAGGTGCCTGAACTGAACCACGGTGATTTAAAGAGCAGTGTTTTTTTGTTTTTTTTGTAATTTGATTTATATGCCGCCCTTCTCCAGAGACTCAGGGCGGCTTACAATGTGCTCAGCAATAGCCTTCATCCTTTTGTATATTTATACAAAGTCAGCTTATTGCCCCCACAACCAGGTCCTCAATTTACCTACCTTAGAAAGGATGGAAGGCTGAGTCAACCTTGAGCCTTGGCGAGATTCGAACCTGCAGTAATTGCAGGCAGCTGGTTTTAATAACCAGCTTAATAACAGGGTGCCTTAGACCACTGTACTACCAAGGCTCTTGGTAGATACCCCCACCCCCACTAACCCACATTGATTGTGTAACCTGATTCAGTCTTCTCAGATCCACCTAGAATAAACCTTTCTGTCCACATTGTCTGTCAGATGTCCTGTTTATGGATGCCAGTGGATGAGTTCACACAATATCTTTGTCTTGAATGTGTTTTGATTGGACCCCTGTGCACTGTGAGAACCCAGTTCTTGTAGTCCGGTCTTGAGGATTTGTATCTTCACATCTTCTATCAAGTCACTACTTTTGCTGTTGTCAATAACACATTTTTTACTCAAAAAAATCTCCCGACATGCCATCAAGAGCCGAGGTGGCGCAGTGGTTAGAGTGCAGTACTGCAGGATACTTCAGCTGACTGCTAGCTGCAGTTCAGCAGATCGAATTTCACCAGCTTAAGGTTGACTCAGCCTTCCATCCTTCAGAGGTCAGTAAAATGAGGACCCAGATTGTTGGGGGCAATATGCTGACTCTAAACCGCTTAGAGAGGGCTGTAAAAGCACTATGAAGCGGTATATAAGTCTAAGTGCTGTAGCTATTGCTATCAACCCCCATTTGCTGCTGTGTAACCAACTGGGCAGAATTCTCCTGAAGAAAAGAGCTCTCATATCCGCATATAGTAATTACTGTTTGAGTGCCCCAAACATTTTTAATTTATTAATTAATCTAATTTAAATTTTGCTATATTGTAAATGATAATCCTCAGCAGCTTTTTCATAAAAGCCAAAATCAAAAAGTCTGTTCCTGGTTGTTTTCGGGTACCTCATTTCAGCAGTCTGACTATGGAGAGGGAGAAGATTTCCTTTGGTTCAGGGCAGGAATGAGAAATCTTTGTTAGTTGTAAGAGTTCAGCCTTGTGGCCTCCACAGCTTGGAGGAGGCCAGTGGTGGGTTGCTCCCGGTTTGTACCGATTCACAAGTATCGGTAGTAAAAATTTGTAGTAGTTTGGAGAACCGGTAATAACATTGGCTGGCCACGCCCCTAAACCGGTCCCTGGCCTGGTCACTGCTCACTTACCCCACCCACCTCATCAGAGGCTTTTTTTTCCCCCAGCCAAAGAGGTTGTAGAAAAAAAAAAACGTCTTTAAAAGCCTCTGGCAATCCCAGCTGAGTTGCCTGATCGTCAGAGGCTTTTAAAAGCATTTTTTTCTGCAACCTCTTAAGGTTGTAGAAAAGATGCTTTTAAAAGTACCCCCACCAAGCCACGCCCACAAAATAAGCCACGCCCACAAAACCGGTAGTAAAAAAAATTAGAACCCACCCCTTTAAAAAGACCCCAATCCCCTAATCCAGTGGCCCCAGATCTTTTGGGCACCAGGGACTGGTTCTGTGAATAAAGATTTTTCTGCAGACCAGAGGGGGCGTGGTTTTGCATGCTGCCTGCATCCCGCAGATGAGGTTTTGTTTGTTTGCACAGATCGGTTGCTTGAATGCCATGGACCGGTGCTGGTTCATGGACCAGAGGTTGGGGACCCCTGCCCTAATCAGTCTGCAAAACTCTCCAGGTCCATGGAGATCCCTCGTCTTGTATTATTGTGCCTCTCAGATGTTAATGTTAATTCAGTGCTATCAAGTAATTATTAATTGTTGTGTTAAAGTTGTTAAGGAATTAGAAGAGCTTGCCGCATCTGTTGACTTTCAGATATTAATTAATGGTTGTTCATTATAAATTGAAGAAGGACTCCATGTGTTTGCCAAGAATGGTGCTAGTCTATTTGTAGCCTGGAGGCTGAACCTTTTGTGTTGTGTCTGTCTCTATAGCCTTGGGAGACCAAAAATAATGAGGGTGGAACATGAATATTGATAGCCCATAGTCTTGGACTATCACTTAAACCATTGTGGAATGTGGTTTTCCTGGAGCAGGCTGGCTAGAGGATTCTGGGAATTGCTTTCCCAATAGATCTGGGGTTAGTGGTCAGGTTGTGGAGGGGGATCATAAGAATGGAAGAATGCATTCACCAGTGGAGATGCTCAAGAAGGCTTGACCCAGAGCAGAGGGCTTTGCGACCTCTGTTGCAGAAGCCAAACTGGCCACTTCATGGTGCTGTTGTCTCATGAATGAGAGCAGTTAAGGCTTTCCCTCTGTCTCTTATCTGTCTAGCATCGTGTTTCTCAACCTTGCTAATTTTAAGATGTATGGATTTCAACTCTCAGAATTCTCCAGCCAACAGGGAGACTTCAACACCCAGAAGTTTGAGAAACACTCAAGAGGCCTCTGAGTTTTAGGGCCTGAAGAAAAGTTAAGGGGAACCCACAATCTTTCTTAGTCTCTGATTTCACTATCAATCTGCTCTTACACTTAATAGGTTTTTCCTAATATTGCATCAGAAGCTGCCTTCCTATTACTTAAATCCATTAGTCCACGACCTGCACTCTGAAATGAAAAAGAAAAACTTTTGGTCATCTTCTGCATGACCACCTTTCTGTTCCATCTTCAAATAAGATGGATCTTCTGTTTTGAAAGCTAAGCATGGTCCCAAGCCATGGAGGCTTGTTAAATAGGGTCCAATGTTCAAGTTGTCAAGATCCTTCTGAATCTTGAGCCTATCTTCTGGAATTTTGGCTATTCCTGTCAGCTTGATGTCGTCTGCAAATTTGATGAGTTCCCCTATCTAGCCCCTCATCTAAATCATTGATGAAGATATTGAAGAGCACTGAGCCTAAGCCTTGGGGTAGTTCACTGCATACATATCCAGTAGATTCTTAGGGATTATTTGTAGTTTTTAGGGATTATTAATAGATTCTAAGGGATTATTAACAGATTCTTGGGGATTATTAACAGATTTTTAGAGATTCTTAGTATATTCTTAGGGATTACCATGATGATAAAATGCACTTACTCACTTTTATTGCACCTATAGACTGAAGCCCCATTTCAAGTTACTCAGTGTCTCTGGAAAAGTCTCTACAAGATCATTGTGAGGACTATTTTCAACATGTGTCGGATGATGCTTGGATTCACTCAGAATTGGATTCTGGCTAGGTAGGTCCTATGGAATTGACTGAGGTAGATTCTTGCTTGATTATCTGAGGAGAGTTTCATCCAGTGGTGAAATCCAATTTTTTTTTTTACTACCGATTCAGTGGGCGTGGCTTGGTGGATGTGGCTTGGTGGGCATGGCTGGGTGGGCATGACAGGGGAAGGATACTGCAAAATCTCCATTCCCACCCCACTCTGGGGCCAGCCAGAGGTGGTATTTGCCGGTTCTCTGAACTACTCAAAATTTCTGCTACCGGTTCTCCGAACTGCTCAAAATTTCCGCTACCAGTTCTCCAGAACCTGTCAGAACCTGGTTCATCTTTCCTCAAGAGGTGAATCCCTGGATCCAGCATTTCTGAACAATTTTCAGGCAGTTTACAATCTTCCCATTGAAGGTGTTGAAAAGGTGATAGACTCACAGTCTCAAAAGACACAGGAGCGAATGGATCATCAGGACCTTTTTCAGTCTGGATCCAGTTTGGCATTTAGTACTAAGACAGCATTTGTTGTTTCTAGATGACCTCTGGCTGGCCAGGGATTAGAGTGGTGCCTCCCTCTCGGCCCTTCTTGATTTCCTGTTAGTTTTCAATACCACTGATTGAATCAGCTTGCGGGTAGAAAGTGCAGGGGATTCAAATACGTAAATAAATAAATAAATAGCAAGGAATTCAATAAGCGCATGAATATATAGTTCTGTAACATTGGTATAACGATAGCATTTCTCCACTTATTCTGATACTGTCTTAAATAGTCTCAAGGAATGTAGATACATCCCTTCATCCTTGTAGCTTCAAATCTCATCAAGCCTGTACTTGGATGACTTGAATATGGTTAAAGGAGCAATATAATATTTCACATTTAAAAAACTTGTTATATAATATCTGATAGAAATTGCTCTGCACGTAAAGCAAAGAACCTGGCCACTTAAAATTGTTGGGTTTTTTTTAAAAAATGAAGCTGAATAACAAATAGGATTCATTATATTTAGCACATTTTCTGCAGTGAGGCAAGTATGAACATGTTTGCCTTGCAGTAACAGCAGTCAGACATCAGAATCGCTTCACTACATGTGTTAAAACAAAAACTGGACAACCAGTCAGGGATGCTTTAATGTTGATTTTATCTATAGCAGGGAATTGGATTTAAAGGCCTGGAGGGTCCTTTCTGACTCCATAGGTCTGTGCTTCAGGTTCTATTGGTCAAAATTAGAATTTTCCTTTTTTAAAGATTAGATGGTTATAAAACAATTTAATAGCAATTGGATTGGATTCCATAGTTGAGACCATTTGTGTCTAGTTGAGCTTTCTCCACTCAGATACTGTCAGATATTGCCTGCATATGATGCACCAGAGACTAGAAGGGGTTAAGTCTTTACAGATATCACATGTGACTATATCAGCCAATGAATTCACTTATTGGACTCTTACCTAGAAACCACTTGGATATCTTCCCCTTTTTTTCTCTCTCTCTCATCTATCTCTCAGCGAGACAACATGTGAACTTCTCTCTCCTCTCAACATTTGAGTCATACAGTTAGGGTAAAAATGTAACAGGATACCCTGTTCATTATCGTATTATATGTATATATTTGTAAATAATAAAAACAACCTTTTGAACCTGAAGCTGTATTGACCAAATAACTTCCTCATAGAACCAAATGAGCACGACCATCAATATATATCTGATAGATACTGTAATATTATGGGATTTTTAGTATCCACTGTACTCCTCTTTACCATGCTACCTGTCTCCTAAGTATCAGATCTTCCGAGGAAGAAGGTGACTTGACAGCTTTACCTCAAGCAAATGACACAAAAGAGAAAACCAAATCAGAATGTTTTGGCAAATTATGGATTAGGGAAAGGACCATATTTATCAAAATTTTTACTGATTTACAGTTTGTCAGCAGATCCCAAGGAGAATATTAGGGGACATTAATCTTCACAGTGACTGAAATCATGGCCTATAGTTGGCAGAGTGAGTCCTTCCTGATACCTTTCTCTTCTAATGAGCATAGTATGCTGTCTATGTCTGACCCACAGGTAGTCCTCAATTTATGGCCACAATTGGGACTGGCATTTCAATCACTAACCCAGGGGATTGTTAGGTGAATTATGCCCTATTTTATGACCTTCCTTGTTGTGATCTTTAAGCAAATCATGAAGTTGTTAAGCAAATCTGGCTTCTCCTGTTTGCTTGAGAGAAGCCACCTGGGAAGGTTGCAAACAGTCGTCACCCAACCCATCCAACCCATCGTAAATACATGCTGGGGGCCAAATGCCTGAATTTTGATCACAGGACCATGGGGATGCTGTGGGACCACAGGAATACTGCAATGACCATAAGCATGAGGACTGGTTATAAGTCACTTTTTTCTGTACTATCATAACTTTGAACTTTGTGAAATAAATTGTTGTAAGGTAAGGACTATCTGTAATAGCTGCATTTTGAAATTTCACATCAGAGCGCAAGAACCCACTAAAGCAGGATCACAGCCACAGAAGATCAAGGAGCCTGAGTGGCGCAGCAGACTAATGCTACTGTTAAAGGTAGTATTTAGCTTCCAGCTGCCTGCAATTACTGCGAGTTCAATTCTCACCAGGCTCAAGGTTGACTCAGCCTTCCATCCTTTCTAAGGTAGGTAAAATGAGGACCCGGTTTGTGGGGGCAATAAGCTGACTTTGTATAAAATATACAATAGTATGAAGGCTATTGCTTAACGCATTGTAAGCCGCCCTGAGTCTCCGGAGAAGGGCGGCATATAAATCAAAAAAATTTTAAAAAACGTTTGGTATAGAAGCACTATCAGATTGAAATACAATAAAGCCCTTACAGTTCTTGTTCCCTGAGATTACTTCTTTACTAATATGGTTCTTGTAGCAATATAAGGGCCTGATGCATAGGCAAAATAATGACTCTTTCTGTGTCGGCCATTGTGCTAGTGAAGATCAAGAAAACACAATATATTTTTGCTTCTTGGAACTGAAATATGTCAGCTGCCAATCACACAAACACTATTGTGGAATGTCCTGATAAGATACTGTAAGATGCTTGCCCATCTTTAATGTCAGCCTTTTCACAGACACTCTCTTATGCCGAGACATCATTGAAGACAACCCGTCTGTGTGAATTTTCATGCAGAACGTGACTTGCATGGGAAGAAATGAGCATTCCTTATTGGAAGTAAAATCATTCCACTTCCATTGGTGTACTGATTCTCAGCATAGGTTTAAATTGTGCCCAATAAATTTTTTTATTTTCAGACACATTTTACGGTCCAATCAAAACACTGGGAAAATTATAAGATATATTTGATAATATTAATCTGATGGATATTAGAAATTCCTTTCCTGATGGAGTTAGTCTTTGGCATACACTATATTGGGGTCTCCACCCATCAGGCTGCAGAGCGGCACCGGTCCACGATCTGCCAGGAACTGGGCCATGGAAGCGAGCAAAGCCCCAACTGTGCACACACAGGATCCAGGCATGCGAAAACATGTCCCCCCAGTCCATGGAAAAACTGCCCTCTATGGAACTCATTCCTGGTGCCCAAAAAACTCATCCCTGGAACTCGACCCTGGTGTCCAAAAAATTGAAATAACCTTTTTTTTTTTTTAAAGCAAAGCAATGCAACGTTTAAAATAGGAATGGACTGGCCAAGTGGACTTTTGTAAGTACACAATGCCTGTTTCAGATTAATTGACCTTATGACACAAAACACTAATTAATTCATATTTATAGGGTATAATTTTGTATTTTTACTGAAGCATTGTTATATTAATGACTCAAGTAGCAATGGGGGGGTGGAGAGAATCAGACAATTCCATCTAGTCTGCCACAATGAAATTTCCTGTTAGGAACTTGAAAACAATTAACTTCTTTCAGAATATTATTTTAAAGATTGATACTGGCCCTGTTTCTTCCAGTATTTGTTCCCCTGAGTGCTGTCAATAGTTTAAGCTGTACAATTATTCCTGAAGGTGCTATACAATTTTCACTTGAAAACTCATCTGAAATAAAATCAAATAATAATCAAACTACTTTTCAGAGAACTGGGCAGGGGTTTCTTCTGTGGCCTGAGATATCCTTTATCTGACCCTCATCTAGGCTGCAAATCTTCCTCCTGTCTTTTAAGGTCATATTCAGAATTCAGATGATAAACCCTCCAGCTGTAAAGCTTAATGCGATAGAAGTGGGAAGGCAAAGGCATAGGAAGTAATCAGATCATTGCATTAAACTGAATCACATATTAATTAAATTAAGTTTGGTTTTGACATTGCTTAGGCTTTTCCTTTTGGCAGTATGGTCCTAGGCTGTCACTCAGGGACATAGGGCAGACCTCAGGGTGAAAGAAGACATGGGCTACTGTCTTACAAGGTAGGGCAGAGCCATTACCGTATTTTTCGGAGTATACAACTCACTGGAGTATAAGACGCAGCTTAGTTTTTTGGGAGGAAAATAGGGGGAAAAAAATCTGCCTACAGGTACTCAGCTGGCTAGCGTCCTTAGTCTGGTCGCCTCAGCACATTAGTTTGCTGGTTTTATATCCCTTGCTTGGGGATAAAAAAGCAGCTTCTAAAGCACAGTTGAGAGGAAGCAGCAATGAGAAAAGCAGGCAAAGCACTGGGGAGATCGCTTTACTCGGCTAGTGCCTAGTTAGGGCTGAAAAAAAGCTAAAGAACAGCTGAGAGTCGGAGCAAAGCATGGCGATCGCTTAGTTAAAGCACAGCGGAGAGTCGAGGGAGCAGGCAAAGCTGGGAAGATCGCTGGCTAGTGCCTCATTAGCCCCTCGTTAGGGCTGAAAAAAAGCTTTGGAATATAAAACACACCCACATTTTCAGCCTCTTTTAGGGGGGAAAAGGGTGCATCTTATACTCTGAAAAATACGGTAATTATGTCTTCTTCCCAAACACATTAAAAAATTGAGAACAAATATTTACTATAAATCACAGTCCAGCTATCCAGTGTAGAGCACCACTGTGGACAACTTCCCTTACATATTTCAAACTTTCCTCATGGTGACTTTCAATCTGATAGCGCTTGACTGATAGTGTGCAGAGAGGCAGAACAGCTTTCTCCACAATGCATTCTCTTCATTCAACGGGTTATCTGGAAAATCCAGCCCATCAGCCCAGTGTTGAAAAGTTGCTCAAATTCCCATCTTCTGGTTTTCTTCACTTCAGGAACCAAGGCTTTCACTCAAGAGCTGGGAGGCCAGTTTCAAGTTTGTAAGTAGGACAAAGAAGGGAAAACCTGAAGGCCGAAAAATAGCAGTGTAAGTAATTATCCAAAGAGAACTTATGCAGTTCTCTAAATATTACTTTTGATCTTTGATCTAGGGAAGCAGAGCAGTGATATTCTTCAAAGTTGATATGAAGTTGATATTATTTAATTAAAATATTAAGGCACTAACAGATTCCCAAAGACCAGTAAGTGATCAGTAAAGTAAATTCTTGAAATTAGCTGATCAAGCTATAAGAACATACTGTATTTCAAGGTATCTGTAAGTGGGCAGTCTATCTGCTCTGTACAAAGGATTGAAATTGATTGTGTAATTGAACCTCATAGAATAGGAAAGGATTTTAAAGTTTAGTTCAGAGGTCAGCAACCTGTGGCTCTGGAGCCGCATGTGGCTCTTTCACCCCTCTACTGCGGCTCCCTGTCACTCAAAATATGTGTTGCAACCACCAATGTGCGACACCCACTGGCATGTGATTTATTGAGCTTTTCAACCCCTGGTAGGCCAACCATGGATAAATCCAAGAAAAGGAATGTTTCAGAAGAAAACAGAACATTTAATTCAACTACATATGTTAGTTTTGTGGCCACTCAAGAAATAGTCAGGTACGGGAAGGGTTTTGTGGCTCCCGGTGTTTTCTTTTCTATGGGAAATGGGTCCAAATGGCTCTTTGAGTGTTTAAGGTTGCAGACCCCTGGTCAACTCCTAATAATAAAAGTAATTTTCTGACAGATAACTGACCAGCCATTGTTTAACATCTTTTAGCAAAGGGCAGCTCATCACTGAGGACAGGTCACACTATCAGAGAGTTCTCCCTAATTTTAAATTGAACTAGACAACTCATGATCCATTGAGTCATGCTTCTTTCCACATAAAATATAGATGGGGGCCATTTTCCCTCGCATCATGACTCTCAGCTGAGCCCCAGTGAAGCTTCCTCCTCCTCCTCCTCCTCCTCCTCCTCCTCCCTCCTCCTCCTATCCAATTTGCTTTACCATCTCTGTGGCAGCCCTTTACATATTTCAAGCTGGTTCAGAAATTCTAGAATTCACTCAATAGTAGATAGACTATAATTTCAGTAAGGCAAAGGAAGTAAAATATTAGAAAAATATTTTCTTTTTAATCATATATGAAGTCTACAGCCTTAGCAATAAAATGAAAAGCGAGCTAAGAGAAAAAAGATGTCAACAATTGAATTAAACCAAAGCCTCGACGCTCTAATTTCTTACAGTTTCAAGATGAACCTATGGATCTTCTCCAGTGGATAAGGATGCAAAGCTTCTTGCATGCTATGGCCGTGATGTTGAATACTTTGCAGCTTCTGATATACAAGTAGTCCTCAATTTACGACCACAATCAGGACCAGAATTTCCATTGCTATGCAAGGAGTATGTTAAACGAGTCATGCCAATTTTATGACTTTTTTTTGCCAGTTGTTAAGTGAATCATGATGTTGTTAAACAAATCCAGCTTCCCCTGTTAACTTATCAGAAGCCAATTGGGAAGGTCTCAAATGGCAATCGTGTAATCCTGAGATACCGCAACAGTCATAAATACATACCATTTCCCAAGTGCTTGAATTTTGATCACGTGACTGTGGGGATGCTGTGATGGTTATAAGTGCAGGGACCAATTGTCAGTCCCTTTTTTCAGTGCTGCTGTAACTTCAAAATGTCATGAAATGAATGGATGTAAATCGAGGATGTTCTGTATTCTATACTCACATTAAATAATTTGTTATTTGGAACTTCTTGGACTGTAATCTTGTCTTTTACTGGGAATTGGAGGATTAGGGAATTAGGAATTAACAGCTGTGGTGGCGCAGTGGTTAGATTGGGGTATTGCAGGGTAATTCTGCTGACTGCCGACTGCCAGCAGTTCGGCAGTTCAAGTCTCACCAAGCTCAAGGTTGACTGAGCCTTCCATCCTTCTGAGGTGGGTAAAATGAGGACCCAATATGCTGACTCTGTAAACCGCTTAGAGAAGACTGTAAAGCACTGTGAAGCAGTATATAAGTCTAAGTGCTATTGCTATTATAGAATTGATATGTTGTTATTTCCTCACTCCTGATGCCATATCATCAGGAACAAAGGATGAGCAAAACAGGGACTGTTTTATCACCTGTACAGATCTGACTTATAACAACTGGTGTGAAGGTATGTCTCGTCTTCCAAAAGATACAAGAAGGACGCTCATAATGACTTCTCCTTTGTGGCAAAGCCGGGCATTGACAACCCTGAAGATTTGTTCCATCCACTCCTCCATCTAAAGTTGCACCTTAACCAGCTAGATCTTACCCTTAATCAGAATGTATCTCAATAAAGCAGAAGAGACTTCTATCAACCAGCTACTAACTTTATACCATTTGTGACAGGGATGGAGTAATCCAAACATGTTGTGTGTCACTATTTATGGCTTCTTGCATATTGCACTGAAAAAGTGACAGGTTTCAAATTATGGTGGACTCAATCATTCAAATCAGTGTTTCTCAACCTTGGCAACTTTAAGATGTGTGGACATGGGTATTCTGGGAATTGAAGTCCACACATCTTAAAGTCGCCAAGGTTGACAAATGCTGTCTTAGACCACTAGAGTCTAAATGGTCTAAATCAGTGATGGCTAACCTTTTTGCTGTTGTATGCCAAAAATGGGGGAGCACGGAGGGGTCATGCACAAGCGTGCCCACACCCATAATTCAATGTGCCCCGCCCTCCCCCTGTGTATGCACGTGCGACCCACCTACGCTCCCCCCACTTTTGGCACGCGATGGCACGGTCGGCCCAGTAGGCCCGTTTTTCACCCTCCCCAGGCTCCAGAGGCTTTCTTGGAGCCTGGGGAGGGCGAAAATGGCCTCCCTCCCCCCAGAAACCCTATGGAGGCCAGAAACAGCTCGTTTCTCGACTTCCGGTGAGCCCAGAAGGCCCGAAAATCAGCTGGCCAGCACGCACGTGCACACTGGAGCTGAGCTAGGGCAACACAGCTCACAGTGTGCCACAGATATGGCTCCGTGCGCCACATGTGGCACGTATGTCATAGATTTGCCATCATGGGTCCCATTTAAACTAAATGAGTTTAAATTCTCTTGTTGACAGAATCTATTTCTCAGTGGAAGAATCCAAATTGAAGCTTATTTAATTGAAGGCTGTCCATACATTCTTTGAATGCATTCAGAGAAGGAAACTGCCGCCTCTTGGTTAATTAGTTCCACTGTCAAATTGTTTGTTGGCTTAGGAAGATATCTTTTAACATCTAACCAGAACCTTCCTTCCAGTAACTGCCTCCTAAATGTTCTGCAAAAGAACATCTCACAATGACCCCAAAAATAGCTTTCCTGGATGCATCAATAAATCTACTGAGGTTTATAGAAGGGTTTAGGAAAACTACTGGAAAGCAAAGGATCGAGGATAGAGAATAAATATATTATCACTGACTCTTCACATTTTTCCTCCTAGACTCTTCACATTTTTCCTCCTCCCATTTTTCCTCTTTACATTTTATTGATACCTTTTTATTTGCATAGCTCATAGAAGAACACATATTCTGTAAATGTTGGCAAGTATTTGATACTTAGCATCAACATATAGGAGATATTAAATCCTTACTCATAGGCAGCAAAACGATTGTCCCGGGCATGGTGGAAGCTGCAAGAGTAGAAAACCTAGCTACATTTATTTATTTATTTATTAGATTTTTATCCTGCCTTTATTGGTTTATATGTAATTTAAAGTGGGAACATTCAACATACTCCTTCCTTCTCCTCTTTTCCTCACAACAACAACGCTGTGACAGGTTGAGCTGAGAAAGGCTGACTGGCTCAAGGTCACCCAGCTTGGACTAGAACTCGCAAGCTTCTTGTTTCTAGGCCAGCACCTTAACCACTAGACCAAAGTGGTTCCAGTGAAGTTCTCATTGGAAAAACACTCAATTTGCTGACTAGGGACAGTCAAGTTTGAAGTGCAGGACAATTGTCCAAATGATTCCCTCCTTCTCTTCATTTCATTCTGTACTGATGCAATCTTTTCCCAATTGCTTTTGGTGTTGATCTCAATAGCTTAATAAGCCAGAGTACATGAGAAACTAGGATCAAACTTCAATTAGTTTAAAGGCTTGACTGACATGTCAAGTACCCAAACAGTATGTCTATGGAGATTCTCAGTCATCCAGATCATGGTTGTCCCAAAGGTGCTTTTTCAAGAGGCAACTGGACTTTCTCCAGAAAGTCCAATTACCTCTTGAAAAAGCACCTTTGGGATACCCAGATTGTACTTTGGAGGGTCCCTTTTGGTGCATCCCCTTGCACATTTAAAAAGCACTGTACTCTGAGTGACTCTGTCTCTCTCCCACTGATAGAACAATTCTGTAATATTTTCCACACTAATCAAGGACTGTGTCTGTACAACATGCTCATTCAATTTATCTCATTTCAGGGATCAAATGACATATGAAAGTTTGATGTAATGATTAAGGCACAGGGCTAGAAACCAGGAGACTGTGAGTTCCAATCCAGCCTTAGGTACAAAGCTAGCTCGATGAACTTGGGCCACTCATGTTCTCTCAGACTAACTCACCTCACATGATTGTTGTTATAGGGAAAATAGGAGGAGAAAAGAGCATTAGATATGTTAGCTGCCATGAGTTACTTATAAAGTAATAAAAGGTGGTATAAAAAATCTAATAAATTACTACGTAACTAAATATATATTGAACCATGCAGTGATTACATGAGCTAAAGAGGGGAGAAAGAAGGACATCTCATAGCAGGACTCTTAAATTTACTTCATATAAAACATGCTCACCTTTTAGTTATGCTAGGATGCTTTCAGAAAGATACCTATTGACACTATAGTTGTTCATTCTTCCTTTTTTATTTAACTGATTTTTGTTTGATTTAAAAAATGGAAAAAATAGTAGAAGTCACAAGAGACTTGCAAATGAATACAATAGCAAGACTCTGTCAAATTCTGCCAGAGATTGAGCAGTTGTACATGAAAAGCTCCATAAACAATTGGGCCACATGTGGCTTTCCAGATGTTATTGGCCACCAACCCCTAATTAACATACTAATGGCAAAAGAAGAGGGAAGATACAATGCAATATTGGAAGTTTCCTACATTTCCACTGCCCAAGAAGGTTCCCCAGTGTTAATTTTCTATTTACCATAGAGAAATGTAGCTCAGAACCAAATGAAGAGAGATATTAATATTGCATTTTTCAATATGTATTTCCTCGGTAGGAGTAGCCATAAAAATTGATAGCAAAACATAATGTACTTAACTATACATGTACCTGAATACCTTTGTAATTTCTGAAAGGATTTGTGTGAAACAATAAGAGTTGCTCTTTTTTACATGCTCTTTTTTAAAACTATCTCTTATATTTGGACTGGTAGTAATCAGTTCAAAATGTGACATTGCAACAGATCAGCCTGTCATGAGAAAAATTTCCTATTCTTTTTGGAACAGAATGTTTACTATTGGCCTAACATAACATCTTTATATCTAAGAGAAACAATCCAAATGGATCTTTCCTCTCTACAAATGGTAATGTTACACTGAGATTTAACTGGGCTTGCTAATATTTAATAATGCGCCAATACTGGCTAAATTGACTTTGTTTCTTGAAAAGATTTCCTGATCCTCTGTTGAGTGTGAATCCCCCTTATATTCAGTTTAACTCCACACTGCTATTGCTCAAAGTCTATCCTTGGGTTTAATGGCAGTGACACTGATACGATCACTGAATTGTTAAGCTGTAAGATAATACAGTAGATACTATATGTATTTCATTCAGCATCATCTACAGCAAACCACAAAAATGCCCAAATGATAAAACACACATGGTAACATCCTTATGCAAATGTTATCCTTATGTACTCATGTTTAAACATTTGGTGCAAGTCACATTGGCATAATGATATCATCACCCATTTCATCATTTGACTTCTTTTGTTCTCCCTGAAGATACCCATGGCGACATCTATGTCATTGCCCATTATCTCTTTTTTTTCTAGAGAAAGGATGTTCTATTGAGTTGTAGTTTACTGATGATAACAAGGAAAATCAAGAGTTACCAGCAATGCTTATAAAATCAGAAAAGCACTTTTATTTACAATTCAATTGTACATTGATTAACTATAGCATTTGGGCTATTTTACTCTCTACCCAAACAAGAGAAAATTCATAGATGTCAATATAAACATTCAGTTTCACAGGAGAACATTGCATTGCTAAAAACAAATTTAAATAATACTGTACAAGCTTTGAAAAGTACCAAAACCTGAACCAGGTGGGTGGGAGATATATATATATATTTGTCTATGTAAGTTTTCATGGGTATATATGTGTGTACAGTTAATATAGTATAATATTTAATATATAATATAGTATAATATTTAATATAATATCGTATATATTTATAATAATATAAATATATTAATATTAATATATTAATAATACCGAGATATTAACTGTATGCACACACACACATACACATATATATATATTTAAAAAATCAGCTTATAACCTTGGAATAAAACTTAAAATGCAATTTTGTCAAATTAGTGTACAAATTATTCCTTTCATAATATAGCTAATAACGTCAAAGCTTTGCACCAAGACAAATTCTTAGCGTGTCCAATCACACTTGGCCAATAAAGAATTCTATTCTATTCTAGAGTTTTAGCTCTGCAATGAGATCCACGGCCTACTTTAAATGTACATAAGATTGTATTTTCCATTTTATTCAGATATCTAGAACTAGTTAATGGGACATTTCTATTCTATGAACATCTGTCAGCGTCTTTAAACAGGTCTTTAAAATGCTTAGTTCCACCAGGATTAAGCCCCTTCTGAAAAGAACACCTTTAGAATATCAGGTAATTATCCACAAGTATCAGTGAATAATTTTGCATTTGCTACTTGCAGGTTAAAAGCACTACATACAAAATACATACATCTATTTTAGATTTATCCAATTGTATCCCACCTCTGCATAATACATATGGTCAGAATATGATACATTATTTACAAGAAATATATAATAAATCTTACATCATATTTACATACATTTCTACTGTCCAATCTTTCAAAAACAGTGTGGAAATGACCCATCTTCAAGAACAGAGGGCAAAAATCACTGCTTTGTTGAGAATTGCCTGCAGCCACAGAGTCCCCACACCAAAATACAAGAGCAATAAAGAAAACAAAATTAAATATCTATGTAGCATGTCACTTTGCATGGAAGCAGAGAGGTTTAACTGTTGAAGTAAAATGGTGGCGAAAGCTCATGGATCCAGGAATGGCTGGAAGTGGAGCTTTATGGGAAAGAAATATCTTTCCCAAAGCTGGCAAATAGTCCTTTTTATATTCACAAAGCTGTTCATGTGGGGTCCTTGATGCTCTGTGAGCTTGTTTTGTTGCAGACATTTCATTACCTAACTACGTAGGTAACATAATCAGTGCTACAATGCAATGCTACTTCTCTTCTATTGATCAACTGTTCATATTGCATGACTTGCATCTACTGTAGAAGGATCTCTGGCTAGCCCACCCTATTGCACTTCACTTTATTCTCATAAGTAACTACTTCGTTGAGTATGTAGGTAAGCATGAAAGTTAATCTGGCACTACCAAAAGGAAGGCAGGTTTCATTTGGCTTGAATTGCACATGGAAGTTGGTATTGTAAAATGAAAACATAGTTTAGAGCAGGGGTCCCCAACTCCAGGTCCATGGATGGGCACTGGGCTGTGGCATGCCAGAAACTAGGCTGTGCAAACAAGGGAAGCCTCATGCATGGAATGCAGGCAACGCACGAAATCACGTCCCTTCCGGTCCGTGGAAAAACTTCTCTCCATAGAACTGGTCTCTGGTGCCCAAAAAGTTGGGGTCTGCTGGTTCAGAGACATATCTATAGATTAGTCCAAGTGATTAGTCACAAATCACACACTGAATGGAGACACTAAGTGGAGAAAGAGTCTTGACCCAAGAGACTGGTTTTCATGAAAAGGCCTAATTTTGGTTTGCATCCTTTCCAAAGCACATCAGCTCAATTCCTCTCACGTTGAGTTTCGATGAGAAAGATCAACAAAGATTCTGAGCAAGATCCAGTATCATCAAGTTGATAAACTTGCAAAACTGTTCTAATTACTTCCAGTTAATGGACTTATATGTTTGGTTTAAGTGAGTCTGCAAGACTGTAGGATCCATTTATTTTCATCTTTCTAAAAATGTAAATAAATATGGCAGCTGCAGGACCTGCTACTGTGGCTAAACAAGAAACGACAATGATTACAGGAATCGCGTAATCCAGCTCTTCAACTCTGGCTGAAAATGAAACAAACGGGGAAAAATGAATATAACATGACAACAATTCCCATTGGCAACACTCTGAAAGTTTCACTACCAACTGTTTATCTATTTCTGGATTTAACGTTACTTCCTTCTCTTCTAGGGCTGGCATTCTGTTCACAAATCATACAAATTTCAGTCCCCTTTATAGCAATCTTTATACCATGTCACATTCATGGACAGAGGGTCCTGATACAGAAGTACACATTTTTTTGGGGGGGGGGGAATAATATCATTGCCAACAATCCCCTAAAACACCTTTCCTAAATCTTGTAAGTTTCCAAATGCATTGTTCTCAACATGCAGAATACTCTACAGTAGCCATGCTGTCTGGAGAATTCTGGGAATTAAAGTTCCAATATCAGTTTGGGGAAAGATTCCATACAGATTAATATGGAAAATTAACCAACTTTAGTTAGCAAAAGAGTAAAATACAACCGGGTTACTAATTTAACAATTGCAGGGATTCACTTAACAAATGGGGCAAAGAAAGTTCATAAAATGGGGTAAAATCCACTTAATTCTGCTTAGCAACAAAAATTTTGGGTTCCATTGTGGTTGTAAGTCAAGGACTACCTGTACAACAGCTAGTTTGCTGTCTAAGCCAGTGGTTCTCAACCTGTGGGTCGGGACCCCTTTGGGGGTCGAACGACCCTTTCACAGGGGTCGCCTAAAACCATCGGAAAACACATATTTTCAATGGTTTTAGGAATAATTTTATGGTTGGGGGTCACCACAACATGACGAACTGTATTAAAGGGTCGTGGCATTAGGAAGGTTGAGAACCACTGGTCTAAGCAATGTCTTTTAAGACTGCAAGAATCCTAGCAAGGGAAAGGAAGAGCTGATCCTGGTTATATTTTGGAGACTTGTTACACAATAAGCATGGAGTGTTAAGGCAATGCAATTAGTGTATTATGGTTATGTGGTTCAAGGATTGAAAAATACATACCAATTATGATGATCTCTTCTGTGTTATTTCTGTCATCATCAGAAACACCCGCCAGGTACACAACTGTATTGTTTTTCAGTGCTGCATGTGATGTCACAGAGGTAATTATTTTTGGTGCTATATCCGATGCAGACATTGTAATCAACTCCGGTGTTGCTATTTCTGATGTAGCAGACACAAAAGTTTTCAGTGTTGCACGAGATGTAACCGATGTTGTAGTTTCTGATGATGCATCTGATGTAAAAGATGTTGTTTCAGATGGGGTGGTTAATGCTGTTGTTTCAGATGGGGTGGTGAATGCTGTTGTTTCAGATGGGGTGGTGAATACTGTTGTTTCAGATGGGGTGGTTAATGTTGAAGCAGCTGAAGCAGTTAATGTTGAAAAGACTGAAGCTAAAGAAAGAAATGAAAATATGTACTTCTGTTAATAATTGTTTAAAGAAGGTAGTCTATTCTTGACATAAAATCAAACTATGTGATGATAGTATATATGAGCAGGGGTGGGCTTCAAAAATTTTAGCAAGGGGTTCTCTGCCCGTTTGCTGGGTGGGTGTGGCCATGATGGGTGTGGCCTAGTCGGACTCCTGCACCATGGCGGGGGGGATTTTTGCCCTCCCTGGGCTCTGGAGGTTTTCTTCGAGCCTCCAGGAGGGTGAAAATGGCCTCCCCAGGCTCCTGAGGCCCATTTTTCGCCCTCTCCAAGCCTCCGTGTATGCCCTGCACTTACTTGCATCCATAACGGGCCACGTGGGGACTCCTGGGAGGGGTGGGGCGGGGTGGGCGGGCCCAGCCAGGAGTGGGATTTGGGGGTTCTCCAAACTGCACAGAATCTTAGCTAGAGGTTCTCCCAAACCCCTGCAAACCCCCAGAAGCCCACCCCTGTATTAAGTGTTAATGCTGAATATTTTCAATATGAATGCTCAAGCACCTGAGATTTTAAAAAAACTTTATATATTAGTTTTTGTGCTTATTTGAATGTAAAATATTTGATATCCAGGCTTTAGCTAGAGAATATTTAACATTAACACTGCAATCACTTGAGTGAAGGAGGATAGTCTTCTCATCTCTGCCTTAATTCTCCCCCTTTACAATCGGATTCTAAACAGGGAAGCTTTCTAAATGCAGCTAGGACATTTAGAAATGGACTTAATGACCACACGCTCTCCTATTATGTAGTGTATTACTGTTATTAAAGGCTCTCAAAAGGACCCACAACAAATATTGTAAAATTTATTAGTGCATTAAATCTAGGGATCCCAAACTCTGATTTACAAATGATTTTTGTTTTATCTATAATAAGGATTCTGTGAATAAGAATAGGCTGACCAATGAATATCTTTCTCTTGCAATATTAAATAAGTTGCTATTATCAGACCCTTCATAATTAAAACCAGACTGGCTATAACAGGACTGGTGATACAGAATTGTAACAGATGGAAAGGTGAAACCCATGCTTTGCAAGGTCAGTAGTAGTGAGGACACAATCTGTAAGTGCATTCAGAATGTGGTCTTTTACATTCCCAGCAGTTTTATACCTTGTACAGAAATATGTAGCGATCTTCTCTCCACTACACTTGTAACTTCATTGGTGACTTCACAGATATAGGTTCCAGAGTCAGAGGCCTGAGGATTTGAGATAGAGAGGTTGTACTTTCCCATAATATTCTGGGTAAGTCCATCAGGAAGCTGCTTTTTCCAGACAAAACTAGCCTGAGGATGACTTTCAGTCGAGCAGGTAAGTATCAGTGCTTCTCCTTCTAGTATGGTGTTGCCTGGAAATGCCACGATTTGAGTATTCCGCGGGCCATCTTAAAGAAAGCAAAGGATAGCCAAGTTAAATTAGTAAACTGTAAATTGAAGGTCGCAATGAGTGCCCCAAATGGGGACGGGTTTGAGAATCATCTGGTGAATATAAAAAAATGCATAGCTGTTTATTCACTGATGGATTTTTTTCCTCTATTAAAAATGTTTAAAGTACAAATATTAATCAGATGGGGAAAGCACTTTAAACAGTATACTAAAATGAAAGCATATACCAGAACTGCTCATTTGACTTGTCTTGCACCAATCATCTTAAGATCAGGGGTAGGCTGCTTGGGGTTTGCAGGCAGGGGTGGATTCTACTTACCTTTACTACTTTACTGTGCAGTTCAGAGAACCCCCAAATCCCACTCCTGGCTGATCCCTCCCACCTCACCCCACCCCACCCCTCCCTGGAGTCCCCACGTGGCCCGTTTTGGATCCAGGTAAGTGCAGGGCGCACGCAGAGGCTCAGGGAGGGCAAAAAATGGGCCTCCTGGAAGTTTGGGAAGGGCCCATTTCCAGCCTCCAGAGGGCCTCTGGAGCCTGGGGAGGCTGTTTTCACCCTCCTGGAGGCTCAAGGAAAGCCTCTGGAGTCCGGGGAGGGAAAAAACACCCACCCCCCGCTGTGGTGCAGGAGGCCGACTAGGCCACACCCACCATGGCCACATCCACCCAGCAACCGGGCAGAGAACCCCTTGCTAAAATTTTTGAAGCCCACCCCTGCTTAAAATGCCTTCTTAACGTCCTCCAAAAACTAGTTCAGCCTATTGCAAGGGGAGGCAACCTTAACATGAACATAACCTATGCTTGAATCTTTATTCCATCAACATACTTACAATTTATTTCCATCACATGCGTAGACTGCCTGGGCTTCAGAGCCATGTCCTCTAAAAGCAGCTCAGCTCTGCATATAATCTCTTTCCCAAAATCTTCCTTGGTAGGAATAAAATCCATCTTCAAGTTCTTGGTCTCTAATGATTTTGTATGAGGGTCTTGAAAAAACTCTTTTTCAGAAGTTAATTTTCCTTTTATCAAAGTAATCATCAACTGCTCAGAAGGATAGACCTTGGGGACACGACAGGTAACAGAAGCAGGTTGCCCAAGAATGAGAGGGCTTTTGAGCTCAATAACTGGATCGCTGGGGAATGCTAAAAGAAGAAACCATATCAGAAGCAGGTCGTTAGCAGCTAAAACTGTCAACTCTCTGTTCACAACTACTTAGTCCTCATGTTTTGGATACAAACTGCTCCCCAAATGATGGCATCTGAACCAAGGGTGGGCTGCTGGGGGTTCGCAGGGGTTTGGGAGAACCTCTAGCTAAGATTCTGTGCAGTTCAGAGAACCCCTAAATCCCACTCCTGGCTGGCCCCTCCCATCCCGCCCGCCCCTCCCAGGAGTCCCCATGTGGCCCGTTTTGGATCCAGGTAAGTGCAGGGTGCATGTGGATGCTCAGGAAGGACGAAAAACAGGCCTACCAGAAGTTCAGGAAGGCCGGAAATCTCCAGGGAGCCTCTGGAGCCTGGGTAGGCCGTTTTTACATTCCCGGAGGCTTGAGGAAAGCCTCCGGAGCCCAGAGGGGCAAAAACGACCCCTCCCAGACTAGGCTGAGCCCACCCAGCAACCAGGCAGAGAACACCTTGCTAAAAAATTTTAAGCCCATCCCTAATCTGAACCAATATCATGGCAGAAGATTTTACATTACTGTTGCCTGATATGTAAACTCTGAATGAACCAACACTCTATACAGCGTCTCAACACATGAAAACCTTCAAAAGACCCATAACCAGGGAGGAGAAAAGGGGACCCTGGCTCCAGTTCCAGTATGCTGCTACCCCATTTCAATAGACAATTTTAATTTAGTGCACTGGCAAAATGAGCTAATCTATTAGAATGCAGTATTGCTGGCTAATTCTGCTGACTGTCAGCAGACCGATCCTGACCGGCTCAAAGTTGACTCAGCCTTCCATCCTTCTGAAGTCGGTAAAATGAGGACCCAGATTGTTGGGGGCAGCGTGCTGACTCTGTAAACCGCTTAGAGAGGGCTGTAAAGCACTGTGAAGCGGTATATACAATCTAAGTGCTATTGCTAATATGTTAAGAGTAAATACACTGCATTGTTTTCCAGTTTAAGAGCATTCAGACTTCATAGATTTTTATAGAAAAGCGTAACACCCAAGCCCTTGTCATACAGACTGTCTTCTTTTTTGGGGTATGCCCTCCACAACATTTTTATTGTCTATGGACCTGGCCTCCAGGATTATTAGGAAGTAATGACCTGAAAAACAGCTTCAGAATTTAAATTACAACAGGCCCAAATACAATGGGCACAAATACTCCCAAATTCTCCAATTGTTTCCATCTGTCCCATAAGTTGTGATAAGGTTGACCTGCTGAAGGTTCATCTGAGCAGTGTCATCTGATGGAATACAGTTGATCTGTCCTAGCACATGCTTTCCGGAATGGTGTGTGCAGACACACATTTATACACACACATACCAAGATATGGATGGCCACTACCTTGACTATCCTTGCCTTTCATAAGTTCTTGAAAACCTAGGTTTTTTTTGTGTTGTCTGCATCAGCATTGTAACAGTTGAAATTATGATTATGGCTGGCTTTGGTTGTATCATGTCTTTATGGATTCAGACCGACAGTGCACTTCAGTTCTGTTAAATATAATTTTACTTATTATTTCTTTGTATCCCACCTTTATTGTTTTTACACATAACTCAAGGCAACAAACATATCCAACACATCTTCCTCCTTCACCTATTTTCCCTACTACAACAACCCTGTGAGGTGAATTGCGCTGAGAGAGAGTGACTGGCCTAAGGTCACCCAGCTGGCTTTCATACCTAAGACAGGACTAGAACTCACCGTCTCCTGGTGATTGGCTAAGGTCTCCCTGCTGGTTTTAATGGCTAAGGCAAGATTAAAACTCATGGTCTCCCACTTTCTAGCCTGGTGCCTTAACCATTAGACCAATCTGGCCCTTCTTTTACTCTTATATATATATATATTCAGCATCTAACTCCCTTCTAACACAGTCTTTAAGGAAAAGTTCAAACAATCTGCAAGAACCATTCCTACCCAAGGAGCAATTAGATACTTAAATTACATATATGTGGAAACTACAAGTATGCTATGAGAATTAGATACACTGCATCTTATTACAGTTTAGGTACTTACAGTAAATGTCCACCATGACTGCTTTTTCTTTGGATGGTTCACCCAGCTTGCAACCAGCAGTGCAGACATATTGGTGCTCATGTTGAAATCCAACAGACTGTATAGTTAAAACTGAACTCTTTCCTTGAGTGCTCAGTTTCCCACCTAATGGATAGTCTAATTGGGTTCTCCAGGAGAAGTACGGGGATTCACAATCGGTTGTGCGACAGCTTAGGGCAAGCTTGTGTCCAATTTGTGCAACAACTCTGTGATCTGGCACAATGTCCTCTATTCCAAATTCTTCAGCTGAAACAAGAGAGAAGGAAGAACATTCAGGATATATGCATATGGGTGCAGTGTACAGATAAATATTTATCTTCTTGCTGTTTATAACCAAGCATTTATCCAAATAAGCCAAACTCAATTTTCAAAAACCTGCTTCTAGACACCCAACAAAAACAGAGTGGAACTGTATATAAGTAGGTGTCAAAATAAAAAGCATTAACTGACAATGTCATGGTCAACAAAAATATAGCTAGTATAATAATTGCTTAATATAAACTCGGCCACCCAGAGCTGGTTTGGAGCTGGGTAGTACCTAAATGGAATGGAATAAATATTTTTTATTCCAATATAATATTTAAATGTCTATCAAAAATATCTTGCAATAGTAATAAGATTTCTATTTCCATAACACTGTTGTGATTAGACTCGTGTTTGAATGTTTGACTTTACAGTTACAAACCAGCATTAAAGCAACAAATATCATCTATTTCAATGTGGAATCAGTAACGTAATCCAGACTCTGACGCAGCATACAGAAGAAAGCGACTAGGGATTGTTATCCGGATGTGTAGTCATGGTGATACTAATCTCACATTCTGGGCCCAGGCTGAAAAATTAATAACATGCCCAAAATTGCAATCTTATAACCATTGATTTGAAAGATCTATTGGATTCAGTGGAACTTAATATTTCTAATATGTGCACACAATTATAATATCATACTATTGAGTCTGATCAGTTTCAGTTATGATTGGTGTCTAAATGAAGTAGATGAAGATCTAATTCCAATGCACGCATATTGTATATGGAAATAGGCCTGCCTTACAGCCTAAAGTTCAAGGTCTCAGCACAATTAGTTTGAACTGCCTACCACTGACCTTACAATCTAAATATTGCTCAATTTAGAGTCCTAAAGAGTAAGTTTAATTTAATAGGCACTTGCTTAAGTATATCATTAGATAGAGTTAATATATAATTAAGCTTCCACTTAATGTATTAGAAGACTGCATCACCCACAAATTAAGGTTTTCGAATGACAATCCCATCAACGCACTCTTACTCAGGAAGAAGTCTTCTGAATTCACTGGTTGCTATATTGAAGTTAACATTCATAAGCCTGCAGTATTATTTCTGAATCCATGTGGATGTGCGTCTGCCAACAGCACAAGGTATAATTACGGCTGTTTGTTTGCAAGGAAATCCAATACCAGTCAGTGGGATTTCCTTGCTGTAAGTCTACTAAAATTGCATCCTCATTTTTTTTTTAAAAAAAAATCTCTTTACACATAAAAGAATTATAAGGACATTTATAAAATCACTTAGACTTGGAATAACTTTATTGTCACTTTGAATGTACACTGACCGCCATACATTAAAATTACCCAACCTCTGTAATCTATCTATCTATCTATCTATCTATCTATCTATCTATCTATCTATCTATCTACCTATCTATCTATCATCTATCTATCTATCTATCTATCTATCTATCTATCTACCTATCTATCTATCATCTATCTATCTATCTATCTATCTATCTATCTATCTATCTATCTATCTATCTTATAGTTAGAGATAGATGATAGATAGAATTAGAATTTAACTCTAACTCTATCATCTATCTATCTATCTATCTATCTATCTATCTTTCTTTCTTTCTTTCTTATAGTTAGAGATAGATAGATGATAGATAGATAGAGTTAGAATTTAACTCTAACTCTATCTATCTATCTATCTATCTATCTATCTATCTATCTATCTATCTATCTTATAGTTAGAGTAGATAGATGATAGATAGAGTTAGAATTTAACTCTATCATCTATCTATCTATCTATCTATCTATCTATCTATCTTAATAGTTAGAGATAGATAGATGATAGATAGAGTTAGAATTTAACTCTAACTCTATCATCTATCTATCTATCTATCTATCTATCTATCTATCTATCTATTATCTAATTATCTCTAACTAACTAGATAGATAGATAGATAACTCTCTCTCTCTCTCTCTCTCTCTCTATCTATCTATCTATCTAGAGTTAGAGTTATCTATCTATCTTATCTTGGAACAATCTCTGTTTATCATCATCATCATCATCATCATCATCATCATCATCATCATCATCATCATTTTTCAGGCGCTTAATAATGCAAAACAAGGCCCCTTTTCTCTCCAGAACACCAGCAACAAACTCCAAACTCACCCGTTGTGAATGTCAGGAGTAGCGAAAACAGTGCTGAAGTCACTCGTGCCATTGGCCGCGACGACTTGGGTCCGGAGGACGCAAAACTTGAGCGGGTTCAAAAAGGACAGTCCCGAAATCGCCTTGCCCAGGAACTCCAAGGTGGACCCACTGTAACCGTGGAAGAGAAATCGGTGTATGCCGGACCCCCATCTCGTTCCTTTTATAAAGAGAAGGGGCGGGGGAGGAGGGCAGGAGGGGACGGAGAGGGGGAGTGGGACTGTGGGAGAAAGAGCGTTCCGTGGAAATTCCGAGATGGAAAATCCCTAAAGCCGAAGAAGAAAAACGAAAGCTGCTTTCCCACCCCAGGAAGCCCAGCCCACGTTGGAATTGCCTCTCTTCTAACTCCCCCTTCCCCAGTTTCCTGCAGGGATCGGAGTTTCTTTGCACAGCAGCAAGTGTCCCGCGAAGAAAATATTTGGGAGACTCTGTGGTGCGCATTTGAGTGTGTGTGTGTGTGTGTGTGTGTGTCCGAAGGAGAACGTGAACCAGGAAAGAAAGAAAAAGGAAACAAAATGAGCCACTTTTTAATCGTTTTAGCATAAAATGGAGATATTAGGATCTCCCTTCTTCTTTCTGTCAAAAGAATTGATGGGGAAGAATTAGTTTAAGCAGGGGTCTCCAACCTTGGCAACTTTAAGATTTGGGGACTTCAACTCCCAGAATTCCTCAGCCAGCAAAGCTGGCTGAGGAATTCTGGGAGTTGAAGTCCCCAAGTCTTAAAATTGCCAAGGTTGGAGACCCCCTGCTTTATGGGATCAAAGCACTGAAAAGTTTCCGGAACATGGATGCCTACAGTTCAAGCATTCACTTCAGGCCTCATGAATTCACTGAGACCCTTTCACTGATATAATAATAACAATGGGTCTATTATTTTGTTGTTCTACCAGGCAGCTGTCTGTATTCATGTCAAAAAATAATATTTGCCGACTAGGCATAAATATCCTTGTTCAACTTTACAGGGCTGTTGTAATGAGTAATGAGATCAGAGTTAGCAATACAAACAACAGATCCTATGAGAACAATACTAGGCGTGTAGCAACGTCGAAGCTGCCAGAAAGGAAAAGGGTGCTAGATTTGGAATTTTCCAAAAATATTCATCAAGTCCAGTACCAGAGGTTGGGTCTTTGTTTAGTCAATCTTTAGAGAAGATAAGGTGATGTCCTTCAGAGGTCCTACATCTAACACCTTTGGCTAACAGCAAAAGATCACAGCATCTATAGTCCCAAACATCTACTGTTTAGAAGACACTGTTGCTGATTCCTGAATGACAATTATTTCGGCCAGACTGTTCTGTCTTGAGTCCTCCAAAAAGCCTGTAGTGGATGCCAGTACAGGCAGTCCTTGACTTATGACCACAATTGAGCCCCAAATTTCTGCTACTAAGTGAGACATTTGCCAACTGAATTTTGCCCAATTTTATGACCTTTCTTACCATAATTGTTAAGTGAATTGCTGCCATTTTTAAATTAGGAACCCCGTTGTTAAGTGAATCTGGCTTCCCCATTAACTTTGCTTGTCAGAAGGTTCTCAAAAGGAGATCACATAATAAAACACTGCAACCGTCATAAATATGAGCCAATTTGCAAGCATCTGAATTTTGATCACATAACCATGGAGATATTGCAATGGTCATAAGTGTGAAAAGCAGTCATAACTCACTTTTTTCAGGGCCGTTCTGACTTTGGTCACTAAGGAACTGTTGTAAGCCGAGGACTACCTGTATATATTGAAAGAAGACTGCAGACCTGCAATTTCACCCAAGCTCACAAATAGTAGGATCCTCTGAAAATAAGAAATAAAACATTTATTTCATCTTCAAAAGAATTTATTGTTGCACATTTAAGGAATTTCCACGTTGCTACTGTTTTTACTTTCCATTTCTATAAAGTGGTTTAAAGGCGATTTGATAATATTCTTCCTCTCTTCATCTCACAAACTCCTGGAGAGGAAAAGATGAGCAAAGAATGGCTGCATCTTAAACAGTTTAAAGTCTTACTTGATTACTAAATACTTAAAAATGTTAACTATCAGAAACAGGGTGGAAATTAGATCTTTTTTTTCAGATGCGGTGGCTCAGTGGCTAAGACACTGAGCTCATTGATCTAAAGGTCAGCAGTTCAGCAGTTCAAATCCCTAGTGCCGCGTAACAGGGTGAGCTCTCATTATTTGTCCCAGCTTCTAGCAGTTCGAAAGCACATAAAAAATGCAAGTAGAAAAATAGGGACCACCTTTGGTGGGAAGGTAACAGTGTTCCGTGTCCCTTTGGCATTTAGTCATGCCGGCCACATGGCCACGGAGATGCCTTCGCACAGCACTGGCTCTTCGGCTTTGAAACGGAGATGAGCACCACCCCCTAGAGTCAGGAACGACTAGTACATATATGCCTTTCAGAACACATTTTACCTTTCAGAACTAGCAGCTGTGAGCATTTAAAACAATGTCGCACTAAAATTTATCCAGTTTTTCCTTTCTTGTTCTTCCCTGAGCTGCTTTTTTATTATTTATTCATTCATTTAAAAGAAGTTACTATGGCAGATATTTTGTGATATTTACAGTAATATCTTGCATAGATCATTTAATAGTAATATTGTTTATTATTAAACCAGTTGATATGTTAATATATATAAGGTCATTTTTCCACTTTCATTTTCTATGAATTTACTTCTTTAACAATTGTTTTATTAATGGTGTATAGCTTTTTTTTAAGTCTAGTTAGGTGTTTTGTTATTTTTTTTTTTTGTAATTTGTAAATGAAATTTGAAAAAAATAATTTTAAAGATACTCCTCTGAGCTTTTACTAGCTACAAAAATCCCTCAAAGGGATTGTAATACATTTAGAACTGTAAGATGTAACAGATAAGATGAATGTTAGAAAAAAGATAAAATAGTGATACCAATTAAGTGACTTAAAATGACGGGAAAACATAGAGATGTATGAAGTAAATGAAATAAGACTTATGTTTTATGTTTCATGTTTTAAACATGCTATATTGAAAATTAGAGAAATTGCAAGAATTGTCATATTCTTAATTGCAGTGTTTATAAAATGATAAGTTGCAATAATATGAATAAATTTAATTGGGAGAATTGTAATAATTGTAATATTTTAAATTATATATTTGAAATTTAATCAAAAAAGGGAAAAGAAGGTGAATTAAGATTACATTAAGAACTAATTAGATTGGGGAAATTAGAAATGATCAAGATGTGATTTATAAACATATATTATTAATAATTAAAAAAATAAGAGGAATTTTGAGAAATATATTTAATAAATGAAAGAATGGTCGGGGTTGTCTGGATACTATCGTGGAAAATATTAAATTGAAAATGTATACAGCAATAGAGAGAGATGAAAGAAGAAGTAGATGGAAGAGAAGGGGAAGGAGAGAGAGGGATAGAAGAGAGGGGAGGAAGGAAGGAAGGGGAAATTAGAGTAGGAGAGAGGGTTAGTCAGGGAGGAAGAAAGGAGGAGAAGGAGAAAGGAAGGGGAAGTAGTAAGGAGTAGGAGAGGAGGGAAAGAAAGTAAGAAGGAAGGAAGAGAGGGAGACGGAAGAGACTGAGAAGAAAGATTGTTGTATAACAAAAAAGAGGAAATGGAAGAAAGGCAACCCCAAACACACATATAAATATTAAGATAAAGAAGGAATTGTTAAAAAACCAAAGGAGAATAAATGTGAATAAGTAGGAAAATTAGAACTTGAGAGTGAATGAAGATGTTGTTTATACAAATAAGCATAGAAATATTGAGATATGAATTAAAGAAAAAATAGGGGGGGAAGAAGATTTTGGCAAAAATTGTAATTGAGTAAAATGTATTTGAATTTGAAAAATTGTATAAGATAAGATATGGCCAATACTCTGTTCAAAAAAAATGCAGGTGAATGTGGGAGGAAAAATAAATAAAACTTGATTTTAAAAAAAAAGGATTGTAAGAAAAGCCATGTGAGGATGGTTGAAAGATAAGCTCTGTCAGACGTGAACAATCAGATCCACATGTGAAGAGTTCAATTACCTGTTTTATTGCTAAAGCCTGTGGATCTTCTCAGACTGACAGTCTGTACCTGGGTGAGTCTAGGTAACAGCAGGGGGATCGGATTTTATTCCCTTGTGTCCACATAGGGATTCCAGACTAATTCCCTGTTTAACTCCTCCCTCTAGCTCAGCCAGTTCCTCTCCCTCATTAACAGGTCTATTATTTTGCTGTTCTACAATGAATAGTCAGCTGTCTGTGTTCATGTCAGAAGCACTGACAAAGCAAATCCAAAGGGTGCTTCCAGGTTGAAAGGATTTACTGGTGACACCACCACTGTCCAGGGAATTGCCAAAAGTAATGCAAACTTTGGGGATGCTCTTTCATGTTCCTCAATAGTCAGTTGCCCCAGAGAAAATTGTAATACAGGCGGTCCTCATCTTACAACAGTAATTGAGCCTGGCCAGCATTATGGTCATAAGGCATTGGGGTCATAAGTTGAGGCAGCCAATTTTTTGCAGTCTTCATTAAGCAAATGCTGCAGTCATTAAGGAAACATTACTATCATTAATAAAAACAATTTTTCCCAATGAGATATTTTCTCCCCAGAAACTGGAAGTAAACACTGGAACCAAAAAAAAAAAAAGTCACAAATTGCAGTCATGTGAGTGCAGGAAGCTGCAAACATCCAATTGTGATCCAGTTGCCAAGCACCCAGCATGTGATCACATGACTGTGGTATGTATGTGTAGGCGGGGCATTGTAACTTCGGAAACAGGTTGTAAGTACCTGGGGGGGAGGCTGTTATAACTTTGAGCAGTTGGTTGCTAAGTAACTGGTTGTAAATCAAGGATGATACTCTTAAATCCCTAAATGTAAGATGATAATCTTAAATTCCTAAATCAGAAATTAAAGTAACAAACGAGCTTCATCTGATGTACTGCATTATATTTATTAATCGTATGAACAATCGGAAAGTGAAGATTGGCCAACGAAAGTTACTCTTCACGGTTTCATCTTGGGAAGCAATTTGTATAGTTTCATTTTCCTGATATCTTCATAACTGGATGACTGCCCACTGCTTACAAGATCTCTAGACAGTGACTAACAGTGCTGGAAGCCCTGCTTAATTCTAGGAAATAACTTAAAAACCATGTTATTTTAATTCAGCCTTGGAAGATAGTCAAAGATAAAACAAAAGATTACCTTCTCCCATCCAAAGATGTAATGAAATTTGGAAAAAAAAAATACAGTAAGGCGGGAAACTGAAATGAAGATATTTTCTACCAGGGCCTACATAAAACTCTGTTATTTGCTCATAGTCCATAGCAATTGTCCCTAAGTTGGCTCAAGGCTAAGGCTTTTACCAACAATCACTAGGCATTCTGGGATTTGAAGTCCCACTGTATTTGGCAGGTACCAAGTACG